GGGCTCTGTACAGTGGCTAATGCTTCCAAATTCTTCAATATCACAAATTCCAGGAAGTTTAAGTGTAAGGGTTGTGACATACATTCAAAGTGCACAAAGCAAGTTGAATGTAACACAGTGGTCAACTTGAAGGAATGCATCACTAGGTTCAACACCGGGCCTTTCCAAAGTTTCTCAAAATGCCACTGAGTGCAACATCAGAGAGCGAGCACCTCCCGGTGGGGCCTCCCGAGAGCTGGCTGACTTCAGTGCTTCCTGTTCAAGCGTTGGAAATATGATGCACACCATTCCAGAACATAATCTTCCACTTGTTCACTGAGCTGTCTGGTACATGCAGGGTCAACTTCACCATCTCTGGAGGTACATCTACGTGTACCAGTTAAACCCTGCAACTCCCCAAAACAACACAGGAATTATTAAGTAAAACAATACAGGAATTATTAAGGTAAGCAATACAAGAGTTATTAACCCCTTTACGGTGGGATTATTTTGACGACTGCTGGGCTGTGGTATGCCCTGAATGGAGGGCTTTGTCCAGCAGCAGGCCCCATTGAACCAGCAGCTGCATGGTGAATAGACCGTATGTGTGGTATGCACTAATGCTCACACAATGGTGCGATAGTAGCAGTCCTCCATAGCGAAGGGGTTAAGCTACGCGTGTATGAGCCATTTTGCAAGAGTTGACTGATGTTATCTCAAACACACCTAGTCACCCCACAAGGCAGATGGCACATGTGAAATTGAAGCTAATATTAATTCCTGTCCGAGTCACAAGTCAATGATGGTTTGCGGAATGCAGTAACACACGCACATTAATTGAAAAAGTACCTTCAAGACTGCAGTTAAGATTTTTGAGACATGAATTACAACATGGCTAGGTGAAGTGTGTGAGTGAATAAAACACGGCGATTTCAAGCACAAGGGTAGGTGAAGTGTGTGAGTGGATAAAACATGGCAATTTCAAGCACAAGGGTAGGTGAAGTGTGTAAGTGGATGGCATGCACTAGAACACTTTAGGGAATATATATGGATAATATATATGAATAAATATGGATGGAATGTTTATGCTGTTGCTTTGTTATTGTCCGTTGTTGTCATCGTTGTCATTATCAATTAATTAAGAAAAAGCCACATGCATACCATAAAAACCTATTCAACTGAAACCATTACTGAAAATAGAATGACTGGTCAAAAACGTTATCGCAAACATGCAGGCCTGGGCCATACATGTATGTGCAAATTGAGCGCCAAGATTTGGGTAGCATATTATGACCTGGTCCTTTTAACACCGTTTCTGAGAGAAAAAAAAATCTTTGGGGAAAAAATGAAAATTACACAGAACTGACACTTTTTCTAATCGCTTCAGAGTTTGTTGAGAGTGTACACTTGCCTTCTTTTCTATGCACCTGATTCAAAAGCAAAATTACAGGAAAAATAAACCTCACTGAATGTCAATTTTTAATTGAATTTTTTTCTCAGAGACAGGTTAGATGTACTTACACATGCACATAAACAAAACACACACATATACACTCACAGACACTTCTTGAATCAACAGGGGAGGAAGAAATCAATTATTCTTACCTCATTAGTATTCAAGGAGGATGCAGTTTCACTTTGTTGAGTCCTGCGGGGTTGGTGGGACGTGAGCGAGTGGACAGGGGTTGAGATGGATGGCAAGATGACTGGAGACCGTAACTGGGTTATGGGACGGTGACCTGGCCTCTCATCCCTGGATTCACTGGTTGCCTTTTGACTAGCAGTGCTGGATACTGTCTTTTTAAGCGGTATCACGTTGACGGACCAATTGGTTTGGACAGTTCTGGTAGTGGAAGGCAAGCAAGAGGGACCAGTGTTGGAAGCTTCCTTACATTTGTCCGGAACTTGTTGAGGTTTGGCGGGGTCATCTGTAACCTGTTCAGAGACAGTTTTGGACGGGGTAGAATTAGCTCTTTGCTTGAGTGCAGCAGGCAATGGTGATGTATCAACATCTCTTTGGCCGGAAGAGTTAGACACGTGTTCAACATTCAGTATTTCAGCATCAACCAACAAAACCTCAGCACTGGTATCTGCCATTTGGCCGGCTGCCTCTGGTTCATCGATGGTGTTCGACGGCTCAACATGTTCTGCAGCGTCTTTGGAGTTGGTATCTGACGTACAGGACGTTGTCACGGGACGCTCCCCAGAACATTGGAGAGTTTCATTTCTGCCAGTCTGTGCTGGAGACATAGAGGAATCTACAGTTACTGGCATATCATTTACTCCAAGCAGTGACTCTGCTTCGCTGCTGACATTCAACAGCTTGTGGAAGATGACCAAGTCCTCCTGATCTTTGTCTGGGTCACTGTTGACACTCTGACTGGGCATCTCGCAAGAAACCACCAAGGAGGTGTCAGTGGAGTCTGTGTTGCTTACAAGGGACTCATCTTGCTGATTTACCTGATTCTCTGTCTCGCCTAATGCCTCCTCCAATGGCGTGAGGCACTGACAGAGAGCGGTCAACCCCTCCTCCTCAGGGGAGCTCTCACAGTTGCAAGAAATTCTTCTGTCTGCTCTACCCTCCTTGGAGGCGGCTTCTGCATCTGTCTGCTTATCTGAGGGTTCCGTCACAACCTCCCGGTCAGGATCATCTATGTCGAGGACCATCTCAGAGGATTCACCTAGATCTGCACCAGCTTCGCAATCCACATCACCAGCACAAACAACGCCACCCTGGCCAGAAACAGAGTTCTTGGCAGCCTTGTGGGGACTTTCCCCAATCTGCCAAGAGGACAGCTTCCGTTTAGATCCACACTGAGTGACACCATCCTGTGATGGATCCTCTAGCCTATCCTTGGGCATCTTCTCAGCTTGATTGTCAGCAGAAGGTTCTGTCAAAAAACTGATGACCTCACTGGATGAGCTGCTCACAACTGGCAGAGAGGATGGGGGTATGTAGTCAGGTTTCCATTCTGGAAAGTAGCACGAAAAAATAAGCAGAACTCGACTAGAAAGGAGAGCATTACCACTTTTCCACAAGACAACTATTTGCTACTTGTGATATGTAAAAGATAACCTCAACACCAATGTTTCATTCAAACAAAGTCAAATGGCTATTTTGATTGGATTTTAGCGATCAATTTTCTGTTAACATTCTTGGATGCCAGCAAACATCAGAGGTTAAATGCCTGTGGTTACATTCAAATGTCATACATGTATACTTCAGACATCACCGAGCATGCACACATCCGCAATGAAGCATAAATCCATGAACAAATACGTGAACATTCTCAGCACGAGACCCTTCAGCACACATCCGCAATGAAGCATAAATCCATGAACAAATGCGTGAACATTCTCAGCACGAGACCCTTCAGCGCATTCTTTTTGCCCCAACAATCAGATTCCAACCCGTTACCACAGTACATCATGGACAGCTTTGTTTTGCAAATAATTAGTAACATTGAAAGTACCAAGCGTCTACTGATGCATATCCACAAGAACGACGGCCTTCCCTCCACGATGGGGTACCACGCATGGCACTCTATACCATTTTTCTTCAACGCACATGGTGGACTTGGGAAAGGACTCAAATACAGCAACATGTGTGGAGTGTGTTTGCTTCAGTGATGGTGGTAACCTCAGACCTCACCTTCTATGCCACAAAGTTTCTCCAATGCTTCTTCAGAGATCCAGCATTCTAGCAGTTCAGAGCGTGAGAGGTCCAGCTAGGGTAGTACCAAAGAAGTATGACTTCAGTAATGTTGAAAGGGCATAAATGCTTTATCGAATTTTTATACAATGACCATACTAAATGTTTGCATATTTCTAAGGCCACAACTTGCCATCTATATTGCAAATCTGGTGATGTTCTGGCACTGTTGACACGTATCATCTCCTTTGACTTGAAGGTTCAAGTTAATCACACGTGCAACCCTCCTTCTCTTCAAACACTCATAGGAAGAAACATTCTATCCATTTTGAAACTAGACTAACCTTAAACAGACTAACCTTAGGAGACGCTTTTCATGTAGAGGCATAAGACTCCCATGCACATCCTAAAACTTGACCGCACATGTGTAACTAAGTATAACTTTTACATTGTGCACATGTACACATTACTTGATCGATGTTTGCGCATTACTGTTTGTGCATTACTTATCAACTAACTTGACAAAGACTTCCTTAAAGTAAATCCCTTGACAGACTTTGATTAAAAGAATGGCCTTTTCAAATTGTCAAGAGGTGGCGGGATTTCAGATGGAGTTTAACTTCGGTGGCCAAGTTCAGTTTTTCAAGCACTATACCAGCACTAGTCTCCGCACTAAGAATGTTTTCTACAGGAATATACTTTGTAAGTAGGTGGAAACTGTAACTGTTCTTACTTCCTCATCTTGAGGGAGGTCTTCGACAGAGAAACCCTGCGCATCTCTCAGGTATTCTGGAATCCTCTCGGCCAGCTCAGGGAAGTTCTTGGCAACAATAAGCTTGGTCTCCACCTCCTTCACGGCCTTCTCTAGGGCCTCCACAGTGCCTTGGCCAGACTCATCGCATCCTGCCGAGCCCAGCTCGAAGGCAACCCTTGAAGCACAGGTCTCTTCGCTCTCCTCTGGGCTCTTGAGGGTGCCGGTTGGGCCCTCAATGGGTTGGTCCTGTTCGGCCTCTGAAAGCTCTGAGGCCTGCTGGGAGGTGTTCTCCATGGCCTCCAGGAGGACAGAGAGGGTGCACTTATCCGGGCTGTCCTGGGACTGGTCTTGTGATTGACAGGTGTCAGGTTCATCTGGTGCATATTTGGCTCTGTGCTTGGATAATGTTTAATAAAGTCAGGTATATATAAATAGCCTGATGCAATCATGACGGCTGTGAGTAGAAAGCCCCATTAAACCACGTATATCTACAAATGATCTTCTGACTCAAGGGACAAGACAACACGAAATCCAACGTAGGGTTTTACATGCAAACTAGCCATTTCAGGTTTCCAGCTCAGTGGATACTATGTAAATGGTTTTCATCATAAACAAGTATAATGAACATTTGAGATATAGGTTATAAGCTACAGGTGGTTATCAGAGAAAAAGTCAAGTTTTCTCCTTGACAGCATTAATCACTCTGAACCAGTCAAAATCCAATTTTCCTTCAGTAATTTGGGAAATTGTTTTTAAAGTACACGCACTTTGATAGTGTTGTTTTTCCTATGTACACACCAGACTAAATCTTAGGAAATCTTGAAAGAGTAACTTGCGAATTCTATTCAATCTTACAGAATACTTCAACTTCAGCAAGAACCAAACAATCTTTTGCACTCTCCTTAGATCGCTACTGCTTCAAGAAATTACTGGTTTAGAATTGTTATGAATTTAGCAAACTGAAGCAGCACAACTGAGTTTTCTAGTATTTCTAAAAGACAAGTTATTCTTCGATCGACGAACAAAAAGAACTTTCTTCAGGAAAACGATACCTCCACATGCGTCGCAGGTCATGGGCCACAGTGGGATGATGGATTGCCGGCTGGAGAGGGGTCCGCCATGTGCCAGGCAAGGCTTTGTAAACAGTCATAGCAAAGTCCTCCACACAGATGGCAATGTCCGACTTCTCCTGATGATCAAAGAAAAGTGTGACAGGGTCAATGCCCAGTTGCGTCGCCAGGAGTCTATTCAAACTGTGTGGGCTAAATATATTGTAGACACGAATGCCTTATCACATCCCAGTCTGGATGAATGGGTGGGGCCCCATCATAGGCAAGAACGTTTACCCTAATGAAATCCTTGATAATTTGTCAAAAATCAAATCAAATCAAAAGATTATATGAAATGTAAAGCAACATCTCAGAGGAAACATTCCTGCTCCCACTGCAAAACTCCATCACAGAACCTGTGTGTTCCCTGTGGGAATTCGCTGTATTCCAATTTAGGATTACTTCATTCCCGAGTAAGCAGGCACACACATGTACCCACTGACCGCTGTTCCCATTTGGGAGAATGCACAATTTTACAGGAAACCATGGGCGTTCCCAATTGAAACTACGTTTGTGGAATGTTCTTTAGCATTCCGTTTGTTTGAGGTGCTCCCTAAATAAGGTGGGGCACTTTATTAAGCATGATACAGAACGATGCCACAATTTCTTGATTTGAGAATCAAATCTCTGCTCACTTTGATGAAATTCTACAGTTTTTTACCAACATTTCAAACATAATCTCATATAAGGTCTCCATTCGTCCCCTCCCAGGCCACAACATTCTCTTCCCTAAGCTCGCATGTATCACCAATCACCTTCCATCAGCTAGATCATTCTATGGTCTTCCATACCAGACCAGTAAGACCAGAGTATTCAGAAAGAACAAATTCACACTGACTCACAATTTGCTGCTGCACATCCACCATGATGTGATACCTGGTTAGATCCAGCAGACTGTTCCTCAGCTCCACAAACTCAGCGCATGATGTTGATTCCTCCCTCCTGCAAGACAGACAACACAAAAAAAGAAAAATGAAATGTAATGTTACTATGTCACAGTGTTGTAGTCAAGACCATCACAAGACCAGACACAAGACCAGACACAAGTAGCGGGGTGAACAATGACAAAGGAATGCTTTTGTTCCAGTTCATTTGAATAGCTTGTGACTTGAATTCAGACTGAAGGTCTTGTGCTGGTCTTGTGTTGGTCTTGTGAAGGTTTTAAGTGGTCTCAACTACAACACAGCTATGTCACCATGCTCCAAGTACCAACGCAATTTACATGTGTGGATGAATAATGTACATGCAAACCTCATGCCACAGGGCATGGGTACCAGTGTGACGGTATCTTTGAATGAGCCCCGAACTGGACTGACAGAGGATGCAATTTTCTCAGCAACGATGGCTCCTGTGGTCGGAACTGAACTTCACTAGTTCACAAACGACTAGGTAATGCATATATAACAGTCACGTCACTGCCAAGAAAGTAAACCCTCCCAACCAGTACGGCTCTTTTCAACTGATGAGAAGGTGTCTCTGCTCAAGGCAAAAAAGAGCAGCCTTCACAAATTTTAAAGGGTTTGTTTCAACGCACTGTGTCTCTAAAAGGCAACAGAACACGACAGCTGAATGTTATTCTCATTTGGTAGAAGCAGATTACACTTTTTCTCATCTGTTGTTAAATGGAATGCAAACCTTGTTACTTCCCTGCAGATGCGATACTGCATCATTTTATTTCTTAGTCAATAGCCACACCAATTGCAGACTGCAGGTTCTGATTAACAGCACAAAGAGATTGGTGTGCTACACATTAAAATGAACGACTGTTCTGAGGACAATTTGCGTGAAAAAAGGGAAACCATCAAGGGCAACTCCGTCCAATAAGAGGAGCATTACCTTTCTACGTTCCACAGCATGGTTTCAGGGCAGAATGCTTGACAAGTGTGTTTTCAGAAATTCACATCTCATGAAGTCAAATGGGCAGATGTAATTGTAAGGGACTCACTCCATAACCAGGAGATGGCACAGTGATGCCTTCTCATGGCACCAAGGATCCATACCCCCATTCAATTGTGAACAATAAAGGGCAACAAGGGTGAAGGTGCTCGATTAAGAATTCATATTAAGAGTCTGTGAGAAAAATTTAAGTACGTAATACACGAGACTTGTTCACATGCATGGGGCCAATCTACCACTTGCACAGGACGGCACATGAACTTCCCAGTTCCCACTTGCATAGCGCACGCAGCACCATGTCACAAGCAAACTTTTCAAATGTAAGTCACGAATGGACCATTCTGTGCACTGCTGCACACCCGTACCAAAATCATATTTGCCCTTACTCTTCAAATCTTCTGATAGCATCCACGCTGAACAGTGCCTTGATGTAGAGTTCGCAGTCATGTACTTCTGCCACACCGCCGATACTGCCAACAACTTTGTCCAGAACCTAGAGAGGGAGTTAAGAATCCTTTTTATCTCTCTTGAAAATGATGCGATCATTAGCATTTCTCTCAAAACACAGACACAGACTAAGCCTGGGCAATAACACAGTAACAGACAGCGCGCAAATTGGAATTGCCTCATGCTGCAGAGAACCAAGGTGAATACATGTAGGTCACGTGCACAAGTACGTGTGAAACAGGTACTGGCGAGAGAACCAGCATATGAACCATCACCATCATGCCATATCAAACATGTCTTGCCCAGAGCGACCAAGCAATTCTGTTCATGTACCTTGATATTTAGCACCTGGCAGGCCAGCGGTTCCTGGTCGTCTGAGATCGGCGTCACAGCATTCCGGTCAAATTTACTCAAGACTTTCTCAATCCATTTGTTTCTCATCCAGTGGTCCATGGTGGTAGCCTTAACAACAATCTAAACACACCACCACAAGACAGCAAAACAATATGCTAGCCTATTTGGGTCTACAATTAAATGAGAAGTCACTAAGAAAGACAAGAAACAAAGCGGCTTGAGCAGTACATGTACGGCCAGTTACAGTGAAAAACACATGCAGCACCAGTAAACAGGCTGGTACATGCACTGTATATGAAATAACCGGTTCAGTTATTTTGCAGTATGTTGAAAGAAACATTTGATGCCTACATGTACCTACCTGCACAGTAACCTCTTTCCTACACGTTTTCTCCAGTCACACCATGAAACGGCTACGTGTACTGGCAAAATTTTACGTTGAGCAAAGTCAGTTGATCAGGGTGTGCTACCAGCCAATTCTCTACGAATTCTCTCAATTTATTCCCTTTTTCGAAATGATCTTCCACAACTGTGTATAAGAAAGAAAAGGCGATTGGTTGATTGCGGAAATGTCCGCAAATCATTCAGTAACATTGACAGATTGTCTAAAGATCAAACAACCACGCAGATTGATTGATCGTGTCCAGCTGGGCCTGAAGATCTGGTCAGGTGACAACAAACCTACAACTTACTCTCAACTGGCCAAAAATGTCTCTTCCATGCTCTCAAAACGTCCAAAATAAGCTTTATGAAAACATTTTAAAAAAAATTTTTTAATAAATAAATAAATACAGCCACATTTGGTGTCCAGTGACTTCAATTTCAGTAGTTGAAAGTTTGACTAAAATCCGATATGGAATAATATCACAAAGAACATCGGATGTCATCGAAGCGTTAAGCAACAGGTACAATGTCGTCTGCACACGAGCCAATTGGCTGTAGTAAGACCTACGTCACCATAATTCGCACACGTACGTTGCAAAAGTCATACTACTTCTGACAAATCTGCTAGTTAATGTCTCTTGAATGAGGAATTATTTTTTGCATTAATTAGTTTGATACAGTTTGAGGATAAAACACTTTTATTCACAATAGCTTGACTTCCCATCACTTTCTCTTTTTCATTCTCCTAGACTTAAATTTTTTTTTATTTAATTGAAGTTACTGTGAGGCATGAATTTTTATTCTTTCAAAAAAAAAATCATAATTTAATAGTTCGCATTAATATGAGTTATTTATCTGGATATTATGACAAAACTTCTCTTTCTGCGAGTATTTCTGAAAAAAGTCACCAAATACAGTGCCACAAAATCCGCCTGTCGTCACCAACAGGAATAGCAAAACGGTGTGCAGTACTTTTTCAGGCTTTGTATTGTTGATAACACCCTCAATATTTGGCAAAAGTTAATCCAAGTCATCATTAGTGCCCGTATCGGACATCCAACATCAATCATGAGCAAACAGTGATCATGTATCCATTTTCTAGACAGTTGTGCTCGGTTCGTTTTTGTATTTAGTCTGTAAAGTAAAGCTTCATGCTCTGTTGACATGTTTCCCAAATTCTTCAAGGAAAAGCTTTCAGTTCGCACATACACGTAGCTGAAAAAAGGAAAACGTCGAAGCGAAATGACGATCGATCATAGACGGTTAATTAACGTCAGTGCATAATTTCGTTGAAGAGTTTCACGACGAGAAAGTTGGATGCGCGAATATTTGTATGCGCAAAGTTAGGGCCAGTTCCTAGTCCACGGGTATGACTGCTGTGTTCCTTTGCTTCCTCCATATGACCATGGAGGTAGGCCTACTGATTACATCATCACTGACATCATGGAGTGACATTCCACTGTATTAAATGTTAAACATTCCAGACTCACCTTTTTTGTTTGTCTGCATCCAGCTAAGCTCAAATGTACTTCATGTCATTTTAAGAAAACGCAACAACTGTGTACCTTCTGACCGGTGACCTAGACCTAATGAAAGATGCACGTTGAAATATACCGCCTTCCTAGCCAAGCCCTATATATCGCATGCAGGGATCGCGCGCACTGCGCGTGCAGTTACTTGCAAAAGCGCCCTCTTGAGTTACACAGTACAGTTTTGGCGCTCTTGACACCCCTAATTTTTTAACAGAAAAAAACCCAAACATTAATATCAGCAGCGTAACTAACGCCCCCCCCCCTGGCAGGACGGAGGAAAACAAAAGATAATATCAAGAAAATAAATAGTTAATTATGCACAGGTTGGGAATCAGGTCTTCATACTCATTGTTTACCCATTCCCCCGAACTTCCTTGGCACTAACCCCCCCTCCCCAACTTAACCTAACAGCCTTTTAACCTACCTAAAAAATATAGTTTTGCAAGGAAAACCTGTAAGTAACATACTCTTGAAACATCGCTTAAAAAGTCCCCCTGTGCCTCCCATTATTCAGAATAACATGATCCAGGAAGCAAATAAAAACTAAAATTAACACAGAAACAAGCACTGGGTGATCCAGTAAATCATCAAGGAATGACAAACAGTGAGATACTTCTAAGAACATCAAGGGCCGATTGTAACAGGCAAAGATGCTTGCAGAAGATGTTCCAGAAATTCACAAAAGACAGGGCAGTCCACCATTAATGTCTTGTTTGGTTTTTTGCTCCGAGTTTATTATGCAAAAAAGCACCAATGTGAATATGATAGAGATTACATTTACAGAACAATCTGGGAAAAAAATCATAAAACCAAACCACGAGTTATCAACTACTTGTAATTAAGATCAAATATTATTCAAACCTTATGTTAGTTTCTAATCCATTCTGTTGTAGTCGATTCCTGTTCTGAGTCCAATGAATAAACTCGAACACTATGCCATGTCCGTATTACTTGGCTCTGACTTGAAATAGCACATGTGCCTATGGGGAATGCATAAAGCCACAAGCTAGTAGCTTCCATAGACATACACATTAGTCAAGCCGTGGCCGAGCACTTCAGACAGCCTAATTTGCACAGTAGACACTGAATGTGAAAAATTGGACACTGTAATCTGAATGTGTGAGCCTTTGATGACAGTAAAATGCTGCATATTATAATAAGTATTCGGTCAACACAGCCCAACTATCCAGGCTTGAATCTTACTGTATGACTTCGCATTTGAGTTAGCACGCGGACACAGAATAGGATTTGACTATACATGTATAACACAGATATTGTCTTTGAACTTGTAAAATATCCCAAGACATTTTCTTTTATCAGATAACTTGAATATCACATTTTACTTCACATCGAGGCCAAATTTCATGGTGCTGCCAAGTACACAATTTGACACTAACAGTATTTCATGGAGACAGTAAACTTGGAGGAAAAATTTGCTTAACATACAGTGACAAAATAATAAAAACTCCCTACGCACATGCAACCGATGTACAACCAGGCCAAGAACCACCGTGAAAGTGTTTACTTAAGGTTAGCAAATTTTTCCACTATAGTCGGTACAATTTATTTGCTAACTGTTAAGCATCTACGTGAAATTTGGCTCTGACATTTTGAAAATAAAAAAAAAATAAATACAAATAATACTGACATTAAGTTTTATCTACAAAGTAAAGAAAATATTAAAGGGGCTCCCACATGCAGGCCCCATCACTGTATAAAATGTGAAAAATATGAAATGCCCTTTTTAGCCAACACTTCTTTTTCAAAATTAACGCAGACTAGCTTGGAACCCTGTGAGCAAAGGAAAAAGAAGGTTACATTTCAAAGTGTACTTTCATGTTGTACACCACGACTTATTTATTCTGGAGTTGTTTAAACCATAATGTCCAGTAGATACTCATCGATTTGTCACTGCTCGCGTCCATAACCAAACCATCAACACAAACTACACTAACAAGGTCACACGTTTCTGCAACACACACTATGCACACACACATTACTCTTCTATGAAAATGTTTACTTTTGTTTACCATCGGTATTCAGCTTTAAGTCGTGACCAGTTCAGTTTGCTGGAAACTTTTCAGATGAGACTGGAAGAAAGATGAAAAAAATCACGATTCAAAATTGAAGCACCATGGCAACAGACTGACATCATGTGACTCAATACCAAATGACTTGTTTGAAACAAGTGCTCTATCCACAACTGTGCCGCAAACATTCCGCGGTTTGGTGAACTGGTCCAATCAGAAAACGTGTACGGCAAACACTAAACTACATCCACCTGCTTGAAAGGATAGAGTACAAGTATGTTAGTTACAGGTCAGTGTCTTAGATATGTCAAAATCTGTTCGATGTGTATTTTCTGAATAATAAACCCTGAGAACCCCTGGAAATGTTGAGTTGTTCTTTAAAGGGCTGTCCTCAAGTCGGACCTTTATTTCAGAAGAGAACTGCTGTACAGCAGGTAAAATGGTCACTAAGGGTCTATAGCTACATGTGTGCCAGTGGCACAATTCCGCAGTAAAGTGCCAGTTAGTCTTCATGCAAAATTGAGTACACATTAATCCCAATGTAAATTCACACCCAAAGGATACTAGTGACTCTACCCACTGATAAAAATGTTTAAGCGTGAAGGGATAGACATTAACCAACCATGCACAGCAGACTATTTCACGTACTCTGTAGGAAAAGGTAAAAAAAAAAACTAATAAAGTGTCCCGTATGTCACAACGGTCATAGCTGGCAAGTTACACGCTGGTAATAAATGAAACTTATGAAATGTTAATGCACTTGCTGCCAAGTACATGCACATGCCAAACAAACCACACATTTGATGAGTCAGTTAAACATACTTTGCATTGGCATGGTTTTTGACCTTGTGAATTTAACTCATGTTTGATGGGCTGCATATTGCAATCACACCAATACAATATTCCTTACAGCCAAAGCCACAGACAGCATGCAATATTATTACATTTAGTCATCTAGTTGATGTGACAGGAAACTTTAATATTTCATAACTTATGCTGATTGCTCTTTCACGCTTGGCACAAGACACAGTTTTCTAAGGAAGGCATAATGTCACGAGAGTAACTCTTCCCGCAGAGTTAGCTGAAGACATCACTGATTATCATTCATCACTTTAATATATCCTCCATTCCTATCTGAACCACTTTCTACTGTCCACTGTTTTACAGTAAAAAATTGTATTTTAAACTACACTTATGAGTTTATGAAAACATTTTTCCAAACCAAATTGCTCTTGAATGACACTGGCATTTGATATCAAAGTACATGTTCAGTCAGTTACAAGTGACATGTACAACCAGAAAATTGGTGCATACATGGCATTTGTTTGGTTCCAAAAAATACATACATTATGTACAAAGTTGGTGAGTTATGCAAAAATAAAAAAGTACGTACTACATTCTTTGTATGATCAACTGCAAAGAATTTTTGCATTATGGTATGCCTAGTGTATTTACATGATCTTTTAAACATGGGAAATACAATGACTGTGACTGCCTGAAGGCCAACACCATTCCTTGCCATCACTTCTATGGCTGTAGATTTATTCGGCGACCAACAGCCGATATCACGACACCTCACACCATGGCACAACTTCACTTATGCCACATTTTCATGTGTAGGTTGCACAATCAATTATGATAAATGTCAGGAAACATCATGCATTGCGTCCTTCCACACTCTGTACAAATTACCGCATACTCAATCATCCTAGGTGGCATAAGGTGCACCAAACAAACTAGAAGTGAATGATTTTACCAATTAATCACTTTCAGTTAAGGCTAATCACTGACTCAACATAGCAAGGTTTATATGAGAAATGTAATTGTTTTTGAAATTGACCGTAAGTACAATGCACAACTGTGCCACAAATTTGGCGTAAGGCTAAATACACAAGTGTGCGAAGTGATGCCAAATTTTGTGGAATTGGCAGCAGAATTTGAAGCCATTACATGTAATGCTGTTCTACCATACTTACCGGCAGATTGTACAAGCAAGCTGAGTGCCTCATTGACCACAGAATGTCAGGATTTGCCCACAGCAATGCACATGTTCAAGTTCAGGAATGCATGCGTGATTGCAGCTCCACCGCAGTAATCTCCTTACAGAAGTCTACACTTCCATTTTTATTTCTTAAATGCTTTTGTTTAAATAAGTATTGAAATCAATGAAACATGATTTGTGCTCTGCTCTGATGCCCACTTCAAGAACAAAGACTGCAAAATGGGAGACTTTTGAGATGCTTGGTGGTGACATACATGACCCATCCATTATTGTTTGCATAATTTTGGGCACGCCTACATTAGCTCAAACGTGATGTAAATAGAAAAGGACAAGTTGTGTTTGCTGCCCCCAAGTGTCTTAACAATCTCCAACTGTTTGACCAGGAGACATCACATATGTTATGCATACCTGCCAACCTTGCCGTACTCCTTCCCGAGGTCAGGCATTACCACACAATAGATTAAAAGGTATTTCAATCAGCCTTCAGTTCATTTAGGTTTTGAATCTATTGTGTGGTAATGCCTGACCTCAGGGAGGAGTGTAGCATGTCGACAGGTCTGATTATGTGTCTTCTCTCCAGTGAAAATGCCCTTGTGACCCTGAATGTTACATATTCTTTGACGGTATCCAACTCAAGTACACTACAAACCTAGCAGGAGTCTGGGTAAAATCTTAAACAAAATAAGTCGATTTCACAAAAATAGACAAAATTGTTCAGAGTGTAAAGTGGTGAACTGCTGCATACAAGTATATACGCTAAGTTAAGCATCAAAATCACGTAAGTCTTTTTTACTTAAAAAATACTTTGAGGTAAAATGTTCAAAATAGTCTGAATCCTTGCATAGGACATTTACACTAATAGTTTGTAGTTACTCAAAACCTTTATCTCTAAAAAAGGTACAGTGGTCTACATAGAAGCTACAGTTGTGTTCTTTGTTTTGACTAAGGAATCCTGGTTGACTTTCTGGGTCATCTGTTGATTTCTATGACACACTAGTCAAAACAATGAATGAAAACCTCCATCAAAGTGAGAATCACTACATTGCCTTAAAAATTAGTCTGTCGTGTAACTGCAAACAAACACCAATTAAAATGCTTTCAGACTGTTTCTCAGTGAGATAAACAAAATGTCTGTTACACTATGATGTTCTTACTTTTGATGAAGATGAGTTGTGTCATTGTTAAGGAATCACGGCGCATTGTAAAAACACTTCAGTGAGGCTGTCTGATCGGTGGTATGAGTAATAGAATGGTCTATAAAAATATTTATTTTACAGTATTTATGAAGAAAACAGGCAGCCTAGTTTGGCAAAGCTGGCTTTCAGAGTTCTTCATGAGCCTGCAACAGAGGATAAACAAACCCATCGTCAATATCGTTGAGTTTACAAATGAGTGAGCAATATCAATAGTTGAGTATTACTGAGTCAAATGACTTGTTGGGGTTTTTCAGCGTATACACGTAGTCCCGCTCACTCTTTGTCTTATTTCATATGCCATCTCTCTAGTCCAATACTCAAGCCACAACGGTCCCATCTGAGTCACCGGTCTCTAGTTACAGTTGACTCTCATTAATACAAGGGTCTCGGGACTTACTTAATTATCTTGTATTATCTGGAACCTCGTCTTAAGCAAACAGTATTTTCCCACTCGCATGTGTCGTTTGTCCGAAACGGGTAATGAATTTGCTTTCAAAACAGTTTGAACATGTCCTTTTTGAATGTGTAATGTACATGGAGATTAAATGAAGAGTTGTAATAAAACATGTATTATACTGTCATTGAGAAGACCGAAGCAGAAAATCAATAAAACACAACAGGGCAAGCAGACTCATCACCAGTCATTGCCGAAACCATGTAACCTGCATGGCGTGGTTGCTGTTGCGAGAGAACACGCACGTACATGTTCATGTAAGTACATTGACATTTTAGTTGGTGATCGACTTAACAGGTACAATTTTATACATGTACAAAGTGAAAAAAACCAGTGAATTTTGGGTGGACAATAGGGGGCGTAGGTTTGGGCCTGGATAATGTTTTTAGTGGGAAATGACACTTTTTTAACTTTTTGGGATTTAAAACTCGTAAATTCCACTTCCAAAAGGACATTCACGGGTAAAATAACAGAACCCTTTGATCGCTCAGGAATCTAAAATGCCCCAAACCACAGTCGTGGATTAGTGACCATTATCACCACACTTAGTATAACAGTGCCTGTATTAAATGGGTTCGTTGATCGACAAGTTGTTTTCAAAATGGTCGTGCTTACCAGACTGGAGGAAAGTGCTTGTCTTAACCGAAATCTCATGTTACCCAAGCCTGGATTAAAGATTTTATTCCTTGTAGGAATGTACACACTTTGGTCGGGACTGGCAAAATATGCTCATCTTAACTAGAATCTCAGCTTATCCAAGCTCATATTACCACGAGTTGACTGCATTCACAAGGGGTAAAAGGGTGTACTCCCCATGCCCAAGTAACAAGTAGCAATAATCTCATTCAGTGAAAGTGGCTGGTTCAGTTACAGTACTTAAAAGTGTGGTGACCAGGGCCAACCTGACATGGTGCTGCATGGCAGAAGAGCATATAAAGCAAGTTGTTACAATATCAATGCGGTCATGTTATAAAAATTGCCTGACTGCTTTTCTGTCTGGCAAACGACACAATGGTCTTTAAACACTTTGCAATTATTTTTTGGGCCACCAAGTTACTCACCGGGCTTAGTCTACTGCATTGGCATGGCGTGCCATCCTGTGGTTGCTCCACGAGCTCCATACCCTCACGAACAACTGGGGGTCCCGTCTGTCTCTTAGCATATTCCTGTTATTGAAGAGACAAACTTCAGTAATCGGTACCTGGCTGAGAGGTATACTTCTGACGATTCACAATACAATGCACCAGCTAGAGGTCAATGCGGAGAGGCCATCAAGCAAGTTTACGGTTGACAAAAGCATGGTCACGTTGCATCATTTGCATTTGAGTGTATGTAACCAGACAGCTTGGGGGAATATTTTAGATTGGGAAACTCCATGCAAAAGAAAAGATGAAAGGATTCATTAAAACTGCTGCTCTAAAACTGCGAATCTTCTTCCCTGACCAGCAAACATCGGGAATAATTTAACTTCCCTGTGTGCAGCCAGCCAGTAGAATTTGTCAATCATTTCCCATAATGCACTGTGAAAAATGGCCTTTCCATGGCAACCTCTTGGTGATGCACTGTATTGTGAATTGCCTGTACTGTACACAGACAGCTAATAGTTTAATACTGCTGGATTTGTAATGACATGACATGTGGGCTAAAATGAGATCGTGGGTTCAAGTCCCACCCAAGTATCGGATCAATCAAGGAAACGAATAGAAATTCAGTTAAAAGTAGTGCTCGCCATGCTGACAAAATCAGCATTTTCATTTAAAATTTCTTTAATTTAAAAATAATGTCCAGAGTAGGTATGCAACACTATTTTGTGGTTAAAAAGACAACTCTCTGTCGTCATAACTGGTTTATCCCCATACTAACTTTTATTTAACACATGCAGTCCCCACCACTGATACCTGTAGGCAGGGGGTTCACATATTCACAGAGTATATCAGACTGTTCCACAGATCAGTAGGGTTTTTGCATGTGCACTGAGCACACAGCACAAAAGGAATTTTTTCTATCAAATCATATCTTGATCAAAACAAACTTTTGGCAGACAGCCCAGATAAAAGGATGCATAATTGCATATGTACACACCTTCTTCACACAAGGTCACATTTCTTCAACTCTTGGGAACCTTTAACAACTGCAGCTAACTTCAACCTTCATATGTCTATCAAAATCCCCAGGGTTCTTGAGTGTAACTACTGATGAGCACATGAAAGAAATAACCTTCTTCTTTCTCCCAAATCAATGGGTTTTTTTACTCACACTCAGCAGGTGTGACACCAGCTTAAAATTTACCTGAAGAAGCTGAAAGTAGTAACAGAAGATATTGTTGGACATCAGATGTTCCCTTGCGAACTGCTGGGCATTTTGGGCTATCGTCTTCGCCTGACAAAAAAACAGAAACCGCAAATAATTCACTGGCCTGACTCAACAGCAAGGGGACAGGATATGGTTGTTTACATAAGTTTTCAGGTGATATGGCAAAAAATGAACTACTGCTTGTTTAATTTGAAAAGAAATGTTCACACAGAATAACATTCTGAATCTGATGTAACAGTATGAGAATACTACCGGTAGTCATGTCCAAATGATTAAACTTGAAATAGCGCATGCAACTACAGAAACTGCCAACTAGTAGCTTATGATCTACTTCTTGTAGGTGAATACTTTATTTACAGATTTACTTTGTCCCTCACCACTGGACTGAACTGTGAGCTTCACCAAAGTATTCAGATGTCCGGGGGGGGGGTTTCCTCTGATATGTGTGCCAACAGAAGCAACACTGGGAGTATAAGTTGATTTAACAACGTGCCGTAGTTGGTTTGGAAGTTCATTCGGCTTTGAACTTGGAACAGAAGACTTGGATCACAGTCACCTCAAATTGTCTGCTGCCAACTCCAAGATGGTATGTTGATCATGTTACTTGCTCTTAAGGTTTGTTTCAAGAATATCACGATTTCTTGTGCAACAATTCTCAGTGACTGCTGTCTAGCCACAGTCAATTTGTCAATTCTTAATCAGTTCATCCGTTTCGATATTTTCACAAAACCTACATGTGATGGCCCAGATCAATGAAGCATAGCAGAGGGACAAAAACTGCTGTCCCCAATACCCAAGATACATGCAGTCTCCTTTTAACTTTCATTGGCACTAAATACATTTTTTCAAGAGAATTACTGACCTCCACACAGTGTGACAGCATATGTAATTAGCCTTCAAGGTTACCTCTTCATCATGTGTCTGCGCCCATTTGATCTTGTCCACCAGGTCGCTCAAGTCCTTCTTGAATGGGATGTAATGCACCCAGGGCTCCAGCTGCTTGTAGAAATGCTCATAGAAGACAGAGTCGTGCTTCAAGACGGTGCTGTCACCACTGAGAAGGTATGGTAACCGGTAGGCTGCCACAGTGCCATCGATGTTGATCTGAAACTTGTACTAAAGAATGAATCCAAAATGGAGATAATATTAATACATGTTAATTTCTTTAGTGATATAGGAGCTGCTCAATTTTTCCGTAATCCTGTTATTTTTTCATCTGATACCAGTTCCACGGTTGATGTAAAAACAACTATGAACTTGTCAAACTCTATACGCTGGTGAAATAACCTCATAAGACACATATATACGTACCTGCACACGAAGACAGGCAATACCCTCAACGTTTCTCAATTTGTAATTGCCACTACGGACTCAAAGAACTGAACAATGCCCCCCAACTTGTAGTCTGCTTGCCCCAGCTCCAAAGTGCCGGTACACAAAGAACTAAGTGCCTATCTGTACTGGTGTGAATAGTTATGGAATGACTTGACTCAGCATCACAAATCATGAGAACACCACATTACAATTTGTCTCAGTCTTTTGGTTGATTAAGATGAAATAAGACCATGTCCCCGAGTCTCAAATTGTCAGACATTTCAATTTGGGAGGAGTGCGGCTGTTTGCCATTTCCAACCAAAATGACCTTGACCTTTGACATTTGGATCCTACATATCAATCAATCCAAGAGCAACTGTCAACCTAGAAAAAAAATTTTGATGGGAACGAAAATCCCACCATATCCACAAGATCATAGGTGACCTTGAATACAAAGTGTAATCCCTAAAGCAACAACAGCCTCCACATTTTGGAAAGACAAATTACCAAGTGCCTGTGTAAATATGGGCAAGGGAACTTTAGCATCATTTCCATCAAATGCCAAGTTTGTCAGGTGTACTCCTATACAAACACTGGCAGTTCTAAGAGACAATTTAAAACTGGCGTCCCCATTAATGGTGTAAGGATCACCAAGGACGCCAGTTTCACTGTTTTCATAAGCATGTGATCATAAACTTAGCGTTTTGAAAAAAAACATTAAAAACACCTAGATTTTAATTTTACTAGGTTCTAAAATGTGTGACTAATTTTTCATACACAACAGACTTAGCAATGATTGTTCTCAGTTAACAAATGTGTTACACCAAGATTTGTAATAAGACTTTCCTTTCAAACTGCAGTAAAGGTCAAATATTACACCGTAACTTTTCATGTCCTAGTTTACTGCATGTGAAACCAAAACGGAAATTCATTCATTTGCAATAAACCAAAAATTCTCACTGTCTAGTATCTTAAGACAATGTACAATGCAAATTCAGTGGAAAGGCAGGGCAGATCAGAAATGACCAATTCGGTATTCCAACAGTGCATGCCTAAAATGAAGCACGAGGTCACTCAAATGCACGAGATCTGTCATAGAACAGTGTGGCCCTACACGGACTCGCCTGCTTGTTTTGTTCCCACATGAGCTTGCTTTTTCAAATACTGTACTGGATCATTACACAAGTATTTCATTCACGGCGGTGCATCGCTAAAAGAAACATATCTGTGTCCCATGCTGCAGTGTAAGCACTGAAGTCCTGGCCAAACTCCGTGCCTCAAATGTTAGGCAAGGCCTTTTATTAATGAAAGTTTGAAGATAAAAACAAAGTCAGTGCTGTTACCTGAAACTTTACAACCCATCCAATACTGGATTCAAGTCTGTAGAGACTGACTGCTCTGTGTGCAGAGGACATGCCCAGGTACATGTTACAAAGATCGTCTCACTATGAGACCAGATCATCCAACAATACAGCTTAGGGGATTACATGCAGCTCAAGCCAGATTTCACAAATCTTCGGGGAAAATCTCTGATTCCCCATGCTCAGGAATAATAGGATCACAGGCAATTACAACAATAGGCAAATCAAGGGAAATCTCTTGATATGATGCGCGGGATTTGCCCAAAGCCTAGCATTTACACAATAGACTTCAGCGTGCAATGTACATGTACAAGCTGCAGGTCTGTCTACAATTGTCCATTTCAAGTACTTAATCGAGGCTGTGATGAAATCATTTCACAGAGTCTGAACATGTTACTATTCAGCATTTTGTAAACCTTTTCCACGCAATTCTAAAGCTACAGACGGATTTATGCAATTGTTAAATTCGGCAACAATTCAGACTAACACCTTTTAAGTCAAGCAGCTTAACCAGTATCGTGCACAAAGGCCTTATTCATTTGCGTAAGAATTCTTTTCGATTATTGAGTAGTCAAACATGTCTTAAATATCATTCCTTTTGTGGGAAATCTGCTTCAGGAAGCAGATAAGTCGTAGCAATTCCATTTTGTTGTAAGGATACCTGGCCTTAAAAGGGAAAGGTTTCCAAAAGCATCTTGGGAAAAAAAAATGACTGCATCCGTCTTTGAGGCTTCCCTTGCAACTATTTAGAAAGACTTCAGCTTTTGACAGGTTAAGTAGGTTTTGCATGTACAAGTGGCTCCATTTAACAGGGATGTGAGTGGCCACTTATAGTTAAAGCCAAAAACAGCCAGCAAAAAGCTGAAATGTAAAACGTTCCTATACTTTTATACAGACCAGGTGTACAAAATAGCTGAAATTCAGGGTTAGCATGTACACAAAAAAGCCGAAATCAGCTAAAAAGCTAAATTCTCACACCCCTGATTTAAGATAAGGGTTTAATTCAACACTGTCCAGTCTGAAATCTGCACACGTTATGGACGTGAACTGTTCATGCATGTAGCACTTAAAAACATTTAAGTTTACATCGTACCCTCTCTGTAAAAAAAAAAGATGCCAAAGTGGTTATGTCACTGCTTTTACTCTGTTGAAACTCTTTTTAAGAGGAAGGAAATTACGCCAGACCACAGTGCTTATTTTGAGAAAAAGACCAACAAAAAATGTCTGGCGACTTCAAAAGAGAGCAGCAATTTCAACATCAAAAAAATGTCATCTTTTCATCTTATCAAAAATATTTAGGTAGATGAAAATTTTTTACTAACACACAGGAATACAGAACTAAATGAGGCCACCACTTTTGGCACTCCCAATTTATTTCATCCTCACCTTGAAGAAATCAAAGAAGGATATGTGCTTGACTTTGGGCCCATATTCCGCCTCCTCATTGCGGAAGAAGAAGAAATTGGTGAGGGCAGCATCAATGAGCTCCGGTTGTTCTCGGGACAGCTTGACCAGGTTCAGCCGCTCCCGACGGCTGTCCCGGCCCCGCCAGAAGGCCTTGTTGGTCTTGTTGACCCACTTGGGCCCAGTGTTGGCCTGGACTGACAGCATGTCCAGAGTAACCCTGAAGAATGACAAGAAGGAATGACTCCAAAAGATTATAAAATACATATACGTGTGGCTCTGTCCGAGACTCTAAACTTGAATCACAGTCAGCAACTGTTGCCTCAAACCAAATGTATTAACCAAGAATTACATACGTCACAGAATGTATGCACATACATCACAGGCACACATGTACATGTAAGTGGTAAGTGTTTTCCTTAGACGGGCCAATCATGAGGTCAGGGATGGATCAGGGTTTTACAAGTTGAATCCGTCTTAAATCCGTCCTCAGCATCTTAATTAAATCTGACCTCAGCATTTTCGAGACAAGAACAAGCACAAGTGTACTGCGGTCTGTTGTTTCCTCCAGAACCCGCGTGCATGTCTGAGCATATTGGACAAGCACTGAGTATACAGTGTTTATAAATATACATCGGTGTAAGGGCCAAACCTGTAATTAAACTTTGTATCTGACAAAATAAGTCTGACGGGCCTTTTTCAGTAATTCTGTCACTGAAAAAATAAAGTTGGAAAGAACAAGGCAAACTCTTTGTTTTGATGAATCTTTGGCAGCCTGATACATTATGTTGGTGGAGAATGTGGAGGGCAGTGTTCTAGCTAGGACCATTTTGGTGCCGGGTAAATTTTTGGATTGCGAAGCATAGTGAGCGCAGTGAGCAGAGCTCTCGCAGCTCATAGCCGGACTGGATTTGCTACTGCTATTGATACTGGTGTTTGGCTGGTCTTGAGCCAAGACTACCAACATGTGCAGGGAGGCCACATTATATCCCATAATTTCACATCCGGGTCTCATAACAATGCTAGTTACTGGTAGACGTTCTCAATGGTTTCTGATGCTTGAAATATGATCAAATTGGTACATTTTCAGTAATATTTCATTTCACTTTTGGGAAAATCTGTGCTGGGCAGCACAGCCAATTTGAACCCAAGAGCCAGGCGAAAATTTGCAGTACCGGCTGGTGCCGCCTGGCGCCGCCCATCATAGCTCGAACACTGGTGGAGGACTTCTATTGATTTACATTGTACACACAACTCAAAGCTCCAACTTGTCACTTACATGTATTTTTTTTGGTAGGCTCATAATTTACACTGAACCAAAACTTTTGACGGGACTGGGAGACTTGGCTGAAATGTACCGGTGCGAGCTCATAGGAATAAAAAAGTAAAAACATTTTCACTCTCACTGAAGCACGTATCTGTACCCCCCATACACCCACCACAACTGTATCATGAAAAACAATCAGTTTGTGGTGACCTTCTAGCCCCCTGAAAGAGAAACCTGTTTGCTCAAGAGTCAATTGAATCAGCTGTAATTGGCCCACCTGCCGAGGGTCTCCAGTGTCGATTCGGTAATGTCGTAGGTTGGCAGGACGATATCCCTGCTCTCATCTGAGCCGCACCAGGAGAGGATCGGCAGCGGGCTGTGGTCAGCCCCTCGCTTCTCCAGCGGCCAGTCGCCCAGGTTAATGAAGAACTCCACATCGGGGAGCTGCACCTGTGACAACAAACGATGAGGCAGAAAAGAGATGAGTGAGGGATGGGGGGTGCGTGCTGGAAACTGTCCCTTTGCCGTTCATGCATTGGAAGTACTTAATAACCAGGCCATCACGTTCAACTTGAAATAAAATATTGAGAGTTAAATGTTGCATTTGACATCCTTATTTTGATTTCCTAAATACTCATTTCTGGTATCAAAGAAAGCATACATGTGATTTTTTTAATACAGTTCTTCTAAATACTCTTTTTGTCCCCTCTTTTTAAATTTTTGTTGTGCCATTTTGGGGGCACTTAATACTTGTTTCAATTTTTATGCTGATTTAATTCGCATATTTCAGAGCAAAAGTGTGATGTCATCACACTATAAAATTTGGATCATTATTGCTTGGTGATTTGCAATTGTTCTGGTTTAAGACAGTAGATAAAACTGCACGCATCAAATATTTTCAAGTACATGTACAATAAACCTTGTTCAACTGTAGCAGATCTGGCAGCATCCCGTTTCAATTCAAAAACTGATACCACAATCCCTAAAAGCATACCTTTCGAGCCATTGAGAGTAGAAATGCATCTGAAAACATTTTGAAGCCAACATGTTCACCGTGTGTTTTCCTGTATATCTGAAGAACAAATAGAATTACAAATTTTCACAGCATGTAATTTTTTTTTTATTTTAAAAGGTCTACAAATACAAAGCAATGGTAAATACAAAGCAATGTGCATCTGAAGATACAGTGTCTGCAGTGAAATTCACTTGAGTTGAAATGTGTTCAACTTTTGCAAACACACAGCACGAATATTTAGTCTGGCATTAAAAAATCGCATTCTCTTTCGCAGCGATTACAAGGGACAGACAGAGTTGAGAAAATCCCCCCCCCCAATGTTACGTTGGTAGTTCTTCGTAAGAACATGTTTCTTTAAGTCCTTCAATCCTCCGATCATTTATCACACCAAGTGCATGTGGAGTATCCTGAGATTTCAATGAAATGACAATAGTATATTATCTTCACTTTTGCCATGTCTGTTTCCACCATACATGTACTTTGGAGCCACAATATTTTCCATGGACTTTTAAGGCCTTCATCTGGAATTCAACTGAAATTCTTAAAGCCTTCATCAATTGAGAAATTTCCAGCATGATCAACAACTTTGTTCCATTTTGACCAATTGAACCTTGAAGCAACAACTAATGAACCACTTGCAAAAGCAGAGTGGTGCATGAGCAATTATCCGTAAACTAGAAACTGATTGGCTAATTGCATTGCATTGTATTTTAACCAATGAATAGCTTCGTTAAAAAGTCTGTTCTCCAACCCCTGCTGGTGTAATTTCCATATTTCTGAGAAAAAGTGTCATGTACATGTAGGGACTGTGATGAGTCCTTATGGTTTAACACCATGTTAGCCCAAACAGATCAGCAGCATACCACTGCATTCCAGAAGTTGCGCTGAGGAGTTCCAAACAGTTCCAGTGGAAGGCTTTCAGACAACACCTCCGATACAAATGTACAAGACATCACGTTCATGACTTACTCTGTTATTTATGATGCTGTAGTGGCAGAGGCTATGGTGTCTGGCAAACCTGTTGACTGTCTCTGTTGCCAGCCGGTCCAGATCAATAGCGGGAAATATAGACAGGTCTTCTTCGATCTGTGGGTGCATTTCTGACCTGCAGCGCATATCAGCCTGCCACTGGCTCTGAATTTGCTCTGGGCAGTAGCATTTCTCATCATACACAGGATCTGGGTCAAAGGATTATAAAAGCAAACATAAGCATAACCGTTAACTTTTTTGAAGTTAGTTCTAATGTTAACGCCAAAACACAACCGAATTGTGTCCACTGTTTCACCAGATCATCAAAGTTCAATTTCCATGTGTGTTTGTATCATCTCATTCTAGCAGATGGAATTCAAGTAACATTTACTCTGCTAGCAGAAGTGTTTGAAAAAGTGAATTCGTATAAAACAGGTGGTTCAACCATGATACATCGGGCAAATACATTAAAAACATATGACAACTCCACACCGTTCAATGTTCATGTTTGAAACAATGAGAGTCATTTATTTCTGCTCTCCACTCATACCACCCCAAGATGCATGTAGTTTTTGGAGAAGACAGAGAACAATGCTACTTTTCCAATTTTATTCTAGAAAAACCTTCAAGTGAAATTGCAGGGAATATAAATGACAGAGTTAAGTAATTATTTATTGTGAAGTTCTGCCAACTGAATGCAGTACAAATCACTGTCAATGTACAAATGTACATGTATGTAAGTTAAAAGAACAGGTACACTACAGGCATGTTTGGTCAATTGCTGTTTTTAATTGGAAGTTATTTTCATATGAATTTGGAAGACTATTTCATTTATTTCAACACTATTTATGTTTACATAATTTTGGTAGACTATTTATTTTGAAATTTTTACTTTAAATACTTTCAAGGGCAAACCAGTTGATATAGAATTCCTTTGTAAATTACTGTATGGTTCCAAATGTAAAAAAAGTAAAAATCTTCTCCCAAATACAAAAGTACAAGTACATGTGAATACGTAGGCCATCCTGCAAACCCAGACAACTGCAGCTATGCCCAGCAGGGACACTATAATAATCAAGCAGACATCATTGGTCAAGGCTAGGTCTGTGCACTCAACAGAACTAGAGGAAACCACAGAAACTGCCCGGCAACAATAGTTGAGGAGTAGACTACCTAACCCTACATCTGATAGAGAACAGGTGGTATCCACCTGTGGACCAACACTGACATATTGAACCCATACAATGTACACCAAGCCATCAATGATCATGCTTGGACCACACAGAGTTTCTTTTACCAAAAATGGACCACATTCAAACACTACATAGTCACTAAATAACTTATAAACACCTTCATGACCAGGTCCAGTCTTGATTTTATGTTACTTGGTGCAGTGCCCCATTAAAGAACTGGCGCGCCAATCATTTTAGCACTGGATAAATCTACACCAACTCTTGCAAAGCCTACACTGCCAGCACCATGCAGATCTCATCAGGACTTTGGTATTCGGACCAGATGCCCAGCCATGCAGTGATCCCAAGGGATTGTTTCCTGTGTGGTGTGGCTAGGTTGCAATGCCACTTCCTTTAGGTTAAGAAGTTACATTTATCTGCAAGTGTCAGTCTGGCTGTCTGCATTTGTTGGGGAGATCAGCCAAAATTTACTATGTGCATAGTAAAACATGTACATGTACAATACATGTTCATGTAAATACCAGTGCTTTAGGTTAATGATGTCAATATTTGGCATCATAAACAATGCAGGGTTACTGTGATTACTCTAAGACATACTGAATTACATGTTCACATATGATAATGGCCCATCTCCATACTGTACACAAGTCTTACTCTCTTCTTTTTTGGTGGGGGTGGGATGGCAGAATTTCTGGCAGGAATCAGAACAAAAAACAGGGCAGAACGACCTTTCCATCATGCATACGTAGATTATAGATCACAGGTAACTGCACTTCGGTTAATTGCTTCCTGTGCAGGATATAACAAATAACCCTAGTTTGAGTGCATAAATGCCTACGCACTGTACAGTTACATGATGTGGTTTCCTGCAGACAGTTTATAAGTGCAATGCACATGTGTACGTTGTCCCCGTTTTGCATAACATATATCAGAAACCTTCCCGTCCATACCCTGTACATTCTACCTTCATAGAGAAAGGATAATTTGTATTATGTGTTAAGTATTAAAATGCATTTCCTTGAACATGGTCACGAACACGAGAGATGTCATTTCTATAGCCTATAGAAAAGTACAAATGCCTACTGTACATGCTCAGTGCATTAAAGGGAGGGATAATTTTCATAAAAGTTGCCCTGGTGGTCAAGTACCAGTGCTTAAGGCAAGGTTTACAGTGTACGTTAAAAGAGGCAAAGTAGAAAGAATTGATGGACAAGAGAAAAGGAAGGTGTGTCATGAGGAACATGAAAGATGCTTTTATTTCACACTGGGCTTGATCTGGGATCTGAGGTAATGTCATGAATGAATTTGTAGTGGCCATTGTGATTCACCACAGTGTGTATGGATCAGTACTTCATCAACTGTTACTGCATGCAATACATGTCTGGTAATTCTCACCTCTGGACATCTTATCATCCCTAGCTTCTGTGGTGGCAATATCTTGTGTGTCACAACCTGACCTACATCATACTCCCAAGTCACAACTTTTCAATCCCCCACAGTCGTTAACTTCCTGACCCAACCCATGAAGTTGAGGGGTTGTCCACAAAAAAAGCTGCTTTTCTTTCCTGCAGACAGTTTACCGTGAAGCTGTTTTACAATGTCCGAATGGTTTTCAGCTACTTCAAAAAAAGAACAAAATGACTACGGCATGAAAGCGTACAAATGTTGAGCATGCTCACAATTCCTTGTGGATGTTTGTTATACAGGGGTACACGTACATTCACATGTCAAAAAGGGTTGGAGCCTTCAATTAACTGCCATGTGATACACTCTATGTGTTCCTCTGGCATTAGCCACCAGTTATGTTGTGCAAACCCAACCCCAAACCCACTTGACCCCGGGTCAGGTCGGTTTTTTCCCACCGTTTCAGCCAGGTTCACTCTGAGTTTTGTGTTTGCAATTTTAAAGTCAGGTCAGTTTGATATCTTGGTAAAAACCTGAAGTAAACTGACGTTAACCTCCCCCCACAAAAAAAACACAAATGAGAAACAGTTTGGACATTCACAAGGTGGGTTATTACTGCACAGTCACAGTGCTCCATGTGACCAAGATGATTTTTTCCACATGGCATTGTTTTCTAGATTCCAACCGGGACAAGTACCCTGTAACAATTTTGAGTTCTCGCAATTTTTCCAAAAGACTTCATGCACTGCAGATAAGTACGGACACAAAAAACGGGGGAAAAGTATGACACAATTTGATCCAGCCAGATCTTTTTGGAGAGGAGGGGGCTCATTTCAGTTTGAAGTCTGTTCAGGTTGGTTTTACCGAGGCTGGGGTTTTGGGTTTTGGGTTTTGGGATGGATTTGGTTTTAAAACTCCCCTCCTCCACCCAAGCCCTGTAGATAATCTCAATTTTGGATATCCAACACTAGCTACGAGTACCCCTGATCGCAGACAGTGGCTGTCGTAAATCACATTTTCACTGAAGTGAGGAAGGTGCCAGCTAATTAAAATGTACCAAAAATAAACAAACAATCTGATATAAATTAAATGATTTTATTTCACTGATGCAGGTGATGAAATTAATTTAGGCGCATTTAGGGCATCTGCATGGTCAAATTTAAACTCGAAAAATATGTGCAGCACAATAACCTTTGACCTTTTATTTCCCATAATACACGTATAAGGCAAAAACATGCGAGTGTTGTTCAGTTTGATTAAGTTAGGGCATTTTGTGGCTTCCATGTGTGCAAATTCAGTGCATGGAGGTAGAAATCAGTGTGAAGCTAATCGAGGGCACCCATTGAGTGCCGAGACTATTGCAAAGTCCACAGCCATTCACTTCACTGACAGCCTTTGACTAGGTGAAACCTGTGGACTGGCCAACCTCTTTGACATCTAGCCATCAATTAATTGTAAGGGTGCAGTGGTTTCTCAGGCTGTGAGTAGACACACTGCTGACTGAGTTTAACAAACACAGCAAGTCTGCCCTAATGAAGTGATGGTCTTCACATAATAACACAAACAGATTTACCTCTTGGGCTAACTCCTGACCAAACACATCCAGGGGATAATGGAGAGAGTGGGAGAAGACAAACAAGAGTTTAAACCCACTCCCAAGAACCACAAACACAGGATTAGCAGATTCAGAATTTCCACCCATCTTGTCCCTGTTGTCAGTGTACCCTTTTCCCTGAATTGGCTGGCAAACACTCCCACCAGGAGGCCATTTGACAGAAAGCAGTGTTTTTTCCCCACATAGGCTTTTCACGTAGGCTGCTGCATTTATAGCAGCATTTGCAGTTTTCCACACTGGACTTGAAAATTGCAAGCAACTTCTGCAATCAACTATTCACATTCCACAAAGGTTTTTCTTCTGAGCATTCGCCCTTGGATTGCTCAAGACCTGCTGAAGCTAAAGTTAAAACTTTCAGAAGCAGAAGAAGACACCATTCAGTATTTGTTCTATGGTAATGTGGATTTGAAAAAATGTTTGTATGATAAAAGCATGTACACACTGTCCACTCTAACTTGTAACAGCCTACTAGTACCGGTACATGGAACATGTGGCAATCGTACACTGGTCTAATGACTGGGAGAGAAATTACTGGATCAAAATTTAGTCACTTTCCAGCGGCTGTCCACACAGGACTTTTCAGTGACATTAAAATGACAAAGAAACTCTTCCGCCACTGAGCTGGCCCTACAAAAACCTACATGTATTGCTAAAACTACATTGTAAAAACTGATGCAGCTCTTGATAATTTCAAAAGTATACCGGCTCTCCTCATTGGACTTTTGTCAAATTGGACTTATGTCAAATTGACAGAGCAGTCTCCATAAGTTTCACCCAAACAAGTCCGATGCAACCACAGCTGAAGTCAACACAAATACACAAATTATGTACGGTACAATGAAAGTGTGAGCGACAAGTTTGTTTTTGAAGCCCACATCCTGATATCTGTGGATGTACATGTATGTACTTGGTAGTACATCCCACACGTACAATGTTAAGATACTTGATTCTAAGAGGAGGCCAGGAACTTTTATGGATAAAACACTCAGTAAACAACACGCATACAGTGCAATTAATTTATTTCAACAAACACCAAGCAACAAAAATGTTGATCCCTTGAGTTGCACCCTTTTCCTTATCACGTCGAATCAATAAGAATTTGTCACATCCCTTCGGGATGCACATTAGGAATTCAGAAGCTAGACTACATGTACAGTAAGTGTAAGGACTGCTGCAGAGTACCGACCAGCATGGCACAACCCCCCAAAAAGGAATTCTAATCCACAAGAAAATTCCAAACTCACACAAGTATGTGCAGTACATTGCAATTGAAAGTTAACCTGTGAATGGGAAGTTCTTTGCACAATTTTTCTCTTCAAGGGAATTCATCTTCATTTCACAAAACACAAAGAAACTTTTCCTGAAATGGGAAAAGATTTTCACAGATTTTCCCACAAGTGGGAAAAAGTTGATTAGACTTTTCCCTTTGTGGACAAGAATTTTCATGGATTTTTCCACAAGTGGGAAATTTTTTTCATGCCATGTGAAAGTTGTGAAATGTGAGTGTGAGTTTGCAAGTGAATTCTTTTCACAAAATTTCATTTCCCAATTCACGTTCTTAACTTTTCAACTGCAATATATTTCTACATACAGGACTTAACTCATAAGGAAATTATTCAGGCATTTGTATATATTTTTTCATGATTTATTTAGCTATGAACAAATAAATATTCCATCACTGGTGACAGACGGAAAGTCCAATTCCAGTCCTGAGCCAAGTGTTCCCATCTGTTATCTCATGAAATGTTTCTTACCAACGCACTCACAGAATTTCATTATGTACACTGCACTGAGCATCTGGCTGTTTGTGGCCAAAACTTTTTACACCAATACTGTGAACAAACAACCAATGAAACTTTTTACGAAAGTGGAGTTTGACTCCTGACTGCGACCAGATCAAACAAAGTCAAACTTAATTCCATTTGGGGGTTGTTTCATTTTTTTTCAGTAATTTTTGTTCAGTTCGCATTAGAACTGTGCCCTTTATTTTAATGTACGCCATAGGCAAACACTGGTGAGGGTCCCTTGATCTACATTGCGCAAGGTTCTTTAAAAGGAGTTTAGCTTAGATGTTATCCAGTGACTTTCAACTCGTGTTGTCACACCTGATTAGGTCACACCTTTCAGGAGTATTACATCTGTTTGGTTGTGCATACCTGAGATGAGGAATGGTGAACCTTGGACGTGTCTGTCTCCACTCTTCACCTCAATTCTCATCCCTGGGTAGGACTCATACAGACGAAAGCGCACAATGAAGGAGCCATCATTTCGATCCAGAACCTGCGTCCAGACCCGCCCCCGTCCACTGGTTGGCCGAACACTCACTTGGAATGCGTTGGGTCCAGGAGAGTATGTAAAACTGCAAACAACCAACAACAGAAATATCACTGAACAGAGTACATGATGCTCCTCATTCAAGCAATTTGTCAGAAATGTCAAGTGAAAGCATGCATTTTATCCTAACCTAACCATTACAATTAGGGTCTACACATTGCTGATTTGTCATGATGTACAATGTGCATGTAGGAAGCAATACAATCACTACCCTACATGTACAATGTACATGTATATCCAAAAGGGAGTGTTTTACACTGTAGATTGTATAATTTGAAAATGGAGCAATTAGATGTCACAGTTTTCTTTGAAAGACAGATTTCCCAACTTTAGAAGTTTCAGGCTTTCACATACATGTACTCTACATGCACTGACATTCTACATTTTATTTAGAGTAGCCAAATGGTATATGTACATATGCATGTACATGTATGTACAAGATGTCCAAAAGTAAAATACATGTACAGTGTATGACCCGTCTAGATCTTGGGCTGAAAACCTTCTTTGGGCACTGTGCCCCTTTCAAGGTGACCTTGTAAAGCAACATACAACTACATGTATCCTACCCATATGATGTCACAACAGCCAACAGTGTACATGCACGTACCATAATGATGTGTACAGTCCCAATGAGCCAGTTTAGTATGTCATAAAGCCAAGCTCTTTCAGGAACAAAACGCGCATATGTATGGCTGGGCTGCTAGGACAGACTATTGTGCATGTGTAACTGTTTGAAGTTTGATTGGAAGTTTTGTCAACACGACATGATCATTGTCTTTAACAAAGACCAATCTATTGTTATTCATGTTGCTAATGTAAAATGACGCAAGAACAGTCCTTTTCACGTGTAATTTTATCTCTGAAATAACTGCTTATTTTAATGATCTTTGATTTTTAACTTGTCTTTCTGTACGTTTTTTTTATTTTTGTACCCTGTAAGTGTGTCCTTGTGATATTTTGTCCATTTGCTTTTACTTGGATTTGTCTTGGGACTGAATGCCTGTGGGCAACAGTGATTAAGTTCACGTTTTCAGTTCCTGTCGTCATGTGTTTCTGTATATTTGTCTTAATGAAGGCAAATAAATCATAACAAACAGTGTTGTTCTGGGCATGCACATTTACACGTAAGTGGCTCATTTAAAAACAAAATGTGGCCTACCCGTACATATATAATCCACAAGACGTGTATTGAAAATCATTGCAAAGTCTTTCCCTACACAAAGAGAACTCATTTTTATTACTGTAAGTTTTCAAGGTAGACTTGAACAGCAGAATCTGTAGAGATGCCCTGACACTGGATGCACCCATTCATGACAGGATACACTCTACATGTACACCCCCACAAACACTTCCTATTTGAACATAATGCGAGTGACACACACGCCAGCGATAAATGGCATTTATAAACGAAGTTTACAAAGTTGATGGATGAATAAATTAGATCAATGGATGTACAATGGAAAAGTTAAACTGCACTTTCTCTTTTCAAAAACAGATGTTTATGAGCTGTCCGTCCCCTCCCCAAAAAAAGCAACCCTTAAGAGTATTTTAAGGTATCAATGGGATATTAAATTTGCTGACACTTTCATATGCAATTAGGTAATCTTAGAGATCAATTTTCTTCCAAATTATTCTATACATGTACATGTACATGTAAGCAGAAATTCCATGTGGTCAGGCTATCAGATTTTGCATTACATTTCTGTCAGGTCTGATTTACTGCTGCAAATCCCATCCCAAGATGAGTACCCTTCTGTTTTCCTGAGACAGTTCCCCCAACACACATCCTTTGGCCCAATCAGGTTTACCACCTCCACTCCAGATCTACTTTTCATCTGGTTTACACTTCTTGTCTAGACAGCCTGCTGCACTGAAGGTCAGCAAGAAAGCCCAAGCCCAACATGACTCAGTTTAGTTTCCTGCATAGACACTCACAGTGGCTGAAATTTGAGGGCGAAATAGACCTCATTTCACGGCCACGCATGGACAGAACATTTACTCCCAATGCATGGTTTTCAGAAGTCACACAATATGTATTCTGCTGACTGATGTGACATAAACTTTGAAAAGCAACGACCAACGGATAAGTCACTTTTTTCACAGCCTGTTGGCTCTACTGCGTGTACATGTCCATGTGCTTGTAAATGCAGGCACTCTTGATAAAAATTCTTAGCCGCACTGTACAATGTATCTACCAGTATATTTAATGCCAGTCTTCAGCACTTTAAGACAAAAATAAATTTATGTAAACCCTGTTAACTCTCTCCTACACCAAACTTCATTTCATGCCAAGTTTCACCATGGAGGTGGTTTCACACACGTGAAGTTGAAAATCTGCCAGTGCTGCTTGTACCATTTGCCCTCTCTTGCCCCTTGTGAGATATGGAGGCCACACAGCCAGCAATCAACACCCACAAAGGTTCCCCCACAGCTGCACAGCCACTCTCCAATTCCAGACATCAGTGTAAAATCCCTTTAGGTATACATGTACATGTACAGTGTACAAACTGCCATCATGCAGGTAATGGACAAACATGAAGCTCTAACAAATTTGACAGGAAAGAAGTTGTGTGTACTTTCATTGGACCAGGGCTGAGCTTTCAAGGGTTTTATTCGAAATACGATAGCCACTTGACCACCAGTCTACTGGTACATGAATACATTAGTGTAATGTACCATACATGTTAGTCATAAATTAGAGAAAGTGTCCAAAAAGTGTCCGCCAACGGATGAATGCTTTAAAGGGACTCAAACTTGAGCCTCTTTATTCAACCTTCCTGGGCATCTTTCTACTGTAGTTAACTGGATTTGAGAGACAACTCTGTGTGGGATGAATGACACTGACAAAAGGTGAAGGGATACATGTATGTGCAACCACAGGAAGGCTTACTGCATGTGGTCCTGTCAAAGGGCTAATTGGTTTTTACTATGACCACCAACTGCTTGGCTCAGCATGTAGCTCGCCATTACTGATCCCGTGAAATCTTTGTTATGAATCCAAACTCAACTAAACATGCAGAAACCAGAGCACGTGAAAAATGACTGAGTTCTACTGTTCCAAATCCTCCAGAATGCTTTGACAAACAACAAGGAAATTCCAATCTTTATAAGACTTTGTACAGTGTTTTTCAATGGCATGAGTGTGAAGTGGAAAACAAGGAAATTAGCTGATCTGAGGAAAACCTGCATGCCGAAACAACAGAATGTTACAATTTTTTAGTTCATTTCTGAACTTGACTTTGCAAGAAACTCTACTCACGTGCGTTTTAATTAAAACCTTTTATTTACAAATACCTCATCCTCACAATGATCTATGGCATGAAGAGGCTACATATTTACATGTGATTTATAAAAGACTGGAATTCAGCTTAAATACCAGCAAGTACATGTACATGTATGTACACTGTACATGTACATGTACCTGACAGGAATTCTATGGACATCGCCAATTTTTCTCCTGCAATAATCATCAGCCATCAGAAAGAGACTTCAAAACTTACTTAAAAACATTGGAAAGAGTTCCATATATGGACAACACTAATTTCCCCTTACGACAGCCGTCAGAAAGTGATAGGATGTTCCAAAAAGTGAAACTTAGCACAGAAAATTCCCAAGCATTTACTCAGAAAACACTTCCGACAAGTCCCATAGGTTTGTGCACAAGGGCATCAAGTATTGTCCAAATACACTGTATATGGAAGTCTTCCCAAAGCCTCTCTTCTTAGACTTGTCTTACTATCATAGAGTTGGTGCACTGGGTGTCAAGTGATGTCCGGGTATGGAAATGTGAAGCGCAATCTTGAACCTTGCGCAAATTTATCGTACTCTATCCTGAGTTGATTTGCTTTTGAATAGCACCCAATCAACTAAGGAGGGAGTACGATAAATAACCATACTAGACTTAGTTCAAGCATGTCAAGATTGTGAACAGAACTCTTTCTGACTGTACCTGACAAAATCAGGACAAAATGAACAAAACTGTACGACTCCTGTCAACTTGGGATTCAGGGAATTTTTTCAATCTACCCTCATGTGTCAGCCAACAAAGTTAGGCTATATCAAAAAATTAGTTGGTTAGCATCCATACCCTTTCATTTTTCTGGGGCGGGCGGCTTTTTTTTTTAAAGAGATTCTTTAAGAGATTCAGTTCCAAATGAGCAGTTTATTGATGAAAATAATAATACTCACAGTAAAGTGAATCACATGCCTTTTACAAAATTGATTTTATTTAATTCATACATCAAGACATAAAAAATGCTGGAAAAATTGAACGATCACGATTGTCCGCCACATACTGTGACAAAGTGTACACACAATACATGGTGCGTTCAGCTGAGTAGGAAGAAGGGCTACGTGCTAAAGCTAAGGCTGCTTCTGAATGACGCGCTGTGGAAAGTAGTCTGAGCTTTAGCACACAGCCCTTGCGAAGGACACAGCCACACTCTCACTGACTCTGTCCTGCTACGTCCTTGGGGTTGATCCTGAGAACTGTATGGCATAGTAGTATTGACTGAAGGAATCAAAGCGACGAGGTTGTTTCGAAAGGAATGGTCAAGTTGGTCGGTGTACGAGTTGGCATACATACAAGTTGAACTGTTCCCGATACATTACGCGAAAAGGTCACTTCAGAATGTTAGACTTAGAAAACACTCAGGGGCCTAGCTAGTGTAGTGACAATCCACCGACACTGAGAGAGGTCAAAATCCTACACTACAGAAGGGTATCATTTACCGTACAAAACAGCAAAATGATCTCTTAAAGTGACAGCAGACGTTTTGGTATTCAAATTATAAAATGTCAGTAGGGCGTACCTGTTGTTTTCGAAGTCGACAGCCTGAATGAAAAAGAACCGTGCAGGCACGTTGAAGTTGGCTTCAAGCCCCGGGCCCCACACACGACTCTTCAGAGGGCAAACTACCCTCTCCCTGTCATATCCAGTGACGACATCTTTGACAGCGCAGCAGGCCAGCACGCAGCATAAGAGCGTGACCACGAATGTTCTGGAAATCCTGGACATAGTTGTTGTCACATTTGATTGTCAAGTAAGCCAACAAACCAGAAAATTTTCGGAATTTTAACCAGAATTGTCTGAACCCCCCTCCAAGAACAGAAAACGATCACGCAAGTGACGTTCGTGTCATCTTGCCTTGTTTTCAACTTCCGCACACATGGCAGATAAATAGCCGGATATACCACTAAAAGGAGGGTGAAGCAAGCTTTATGCACAACTTTTAACTTGATTTATCCCCCTCCAAAACAAATAAAGCAATAAAGCATAGACACAAACTGCACAATGTTAAGGCACCGTAGCTCATATAAAATAATATTTGTGCTTTTTGCAATTCCAAAAACTAAACTACACCAAGTGAAGGTCAGAGTGTTGTGCACCTCTCAGAAATTTTATTGATGACTCCTAACTTTCAATGAACGAGTCTACCGAGCTTTTTTCCCCATACGAGGTGGCGCTCTTTACAAATCACCGTCGCGCGATTGTCTGAGAGCTGTTAACTCCTGTCTCCTCATCGGCTTGAAGAATTAAAAAAAAAAGTAAGTTAAGGAACTAAATCATCAGAGCTTGATAGCGAGTCGAAACCATGGGGCTACTGTAGAAACAATTATCAAAGAAACTTAAAAATTACTTGAAGAATAATGTTTACCGTAGAAAAGAAAACATAATAAACAAAATGCACTTTTATATTTACCCTCTATTTTCAAGTCCAGGGTTATTGTTTTATTTATCCCTTTTGTTTTATATTTATGTTCACGAATCTTTTAACCCTAACAGTCCTCAATCTTCCAATTTCAATATAAATTATTTTACACAAATCCTAGAGGGTTGAATCACTCTCATCTGTGGCTGGATTTAAGCATAAATATACATTGTAAAAGATCTCTGATAATATGTGACATAACTCGCTCCTCATTCAGCTTTTGTGGAAATTGTTTTCTCTCAATACAAGCACGTACTGTTCTAGTTTATCTGTAAATTTTTATGCTTAGATCTGACTGTCCGTGGTTCATGTGTTTTGTTTGTCCGGCCTCGTGTTAGTCAGTCGAAAGCATCTCACGGCAAGATTAGGCTTCTGGAAGATACCTCCATACCCACTTATAGTTTCAACTTTAAATTTTTACTATTTTATCCATTTATATATTTATTAACTGTTCGTATATTCTGTGCTTCTTCTTATCTTTCTATGAAAATTAATGCGAGTTTTGAATTGAATTTGAATGTTTCTCTTTGTTTTAATGTGTGTGGGATCGTCAGCTTTGTTTCCTTTCTCGCTTTTTTTAACATTTATCTTTTTCTTTTCTTTTCTTTTTTTTGGTGGGGGCTGATTAATTCCTTCTCCATTCCGGCGTTGGTCATCTTGAATCTACCAAGAAGGTTGGTCTGATTTCCGATCAACGGTCGATATTGCGAGGTGACGCTTGAATGAAACTGTGTTATGGATCACCACAAACTGTGTGTGCAAGGTGTCTTGTTCATGGCAATTGTTGGCGCACTATGGTATGCGTTGTGTGCTTCTGTAACCAGCAACAGTGCAGTCGGCATTGCTTAGCAAATTTCTTTTGGGCAATTGAATTCTAATTAGTATTGTTAAAGGCGCAGTCTAATTCTCTGTAATCCTCTACTGTTTCACGAATAAAAACCAAAGTCTTTGATTTGTCTTTTAGGGCATTATTTTAGGATGCACCAGATTGCAGGAGCTGATGTCTCTTAAAAAAAAAACATAGGGTGCATGCCCTGGACTCCTAGTCTGAGATCCTAAGCCATTTCATTTTGAAGCCCCTTCTGATAATCCTGTACACCACAGATTTTGTAGTTTTGCGGACGCATCATACCACACGAATAATTGCTTAAAATTCGGTATTCCTTTCGCCCGAACTGACTGTTTTAGATATTCCTATTTTGTTCGCACAGCAAATGAGTGGAATAGTCTACACGAACAAGTTGTTGAAAGTATGTCACTGAACGTGCTTAAGAACTCCCTTTATGATTTTTTTGACCTGTTAACTCTTGTGTTTTGTTTTTTCTCTTTTTTACCTGTTCTTATTTTCAATTTCAGCGTTGTTTTAATGTAATTCTCACTTTTAAGTTTAAGCTTACTGTTTTTAATGTTTATGATCTTAATGTTCTGTATTGGTTTGTATTTGTAATGACTTGTTTTCTTTATTTTACGTTATTGGTTCTGGGGGAATTTTACTTTTTAATATCTTATTTCTCTTTTAACCATTCTTTTATCTTGTTTTTTATTCTAAATAATTGTTGAATTTCATTTAATTTAATTAATCTTATATTTGTGTATTTTTATTTTAACCGGGGCGTGGTTTAAGATGGACTGTACAGTCCTTTCCACAACCCCTGACATTGTCAGAAATTGATAGTAATAAATAATAATAATACTCGAATAGGAAGACCGCTCAACCATCTGGAAATGTCGGTCTTTCTTTGCTGATGTTTTCTTTTTTTCTTATAGGCGAGTGAGATAGGTGAGGATTGAAAACGGAGTTCCATTTTGGTGAACAATTTGCTGTGTTTCGTCTAAGTCATTCTAATGAATGAAGTTCGTGTTGACCGCGCACGTAGACCTCTTTTTAAACAAGTGACTTTTGAAATACATGTATAAAATAATTTAGAAATCGCTTTTTTTCCATTAAGGACAGCAAGAATTCCTCCTTAATTAGCTTGAGGGGTTTCTCGGTTTACTTATCCAAATCCCAATTTCTTTTATTTCCACCAGTAAAATTCTAAATTTCTGTCTGCAACTATATAGGGGCATGATAAAATCTCCACTCGAGTTTTTTTATGAGTCTGTTCACACTATCAAGATCAGTCTAAATCGTTTGTTTTCTATAATTTGAGTATAATATTAAACTTAATTTTACTCTTTTGATAAAAGGAGAAAGAACTGGTGGATTTTAAAATCATCAACTGGAGGACAGGAAAGAACGATATTATGTCAGGAAAGATGCCGGCTCTGCTATAATTTTAGGCACATTCCGATTAATGGTGAAAACCGCAAGTTGTTATTTGTGAAGCCTCATTAATGATTCATTTCTAATCGATTCACGTGCCTTTGATCTGGTCTTAATCCATATAGATTTGTTCATGCAAACCCCTGCCTTCCCCGTGTAGAGGTTGTAACTCTCTTCCATTTGGGTTGTGGCAACGAGTACAAAGTTGTCTCCCAAAATCGATAACTTGCAAGGCCCTGCGCACCGACGGCGAAATTCGGCATGAACGTCGAATACATGTCTTGTACATCCAAGATGGTTGCTGGTGCTGGTGTTACAACTAGCTTAAACATTCCCGTGAAATCGTGAACATCCGCGATGAGGTCTAATTCTCGCCACGTGGTGCGTTCCGGAAACCGGGAATATTCACTTCAGAGAATCAGTAGGATTTTATGCAGCTGGGTGTATTGCTGAAAAGGGATAAATTTAGACCTAAGCACAATGGGCTTGGCCGGTCTTTATTCGGGCCCCTGCCATGGTCGACCTCTCTTGGTAAGTGAAGTCATTAATTGAAGATGAATAATCTTTACAGACAGAATTACTGTTAAATATTATTCAAGTTCTGGTTTATTTTTATAATACTATAAGTAGCTGAGTACATGTGGAAAACTTTGATGCAGTATCTCATTAGCATTGGGGAGGTAAGATAAATAGAAGTCGAAGCTTGTATTCTAAGTCTACCCCCAGCAAAAAGAATATGTAGTTCATACAATCATAATTAAGTGAAATGAATATTAAGGAAAGGATGTTAAATTTAAAAATTCCCGAATTCGTAATCTGACAAAACTAATAAATTAATATGTACAAACTGGTCAGTCACATCCTAAACTATTTTTTACAGTGTTGTTGATGACTTAGCTTGACAGTCACAGCTATGACTTCACCGCACGTAGCTACTTTATATTGCGTATTCATTTTGCTTTGTTTGCTTTGTACGGTTGCTTAAAAACATACATAAAATTGTGAAAGAGTGGTTAATTATGCATTCTCTGATCATTTTTGCTTCCGCTAATAACTGCATCCTTTTGATATTTGATGTTACTTGTTAACATAACCCTGGTCATTTTAAGGGCTGTCATGATGAAATTAATCGCACGATTTTAAAAACAAGTTGTCTCGAACCCCTTTTCCCCTATCTCGTAGATGTGGTATTTCGCAGCAGCTTGGGCATGTTTCCAACTTTTTCCCGGTAAGCACTGTTCAAGTTTTAACAGAAGCTGTAAACAATTAAAAACTAACCATGCATGTTAAGAGTTAAATTGATAAATCAATTAAAACGAAAACAAGGCCTAAAAAGGGCGTCTCACATCATGTTTAAAACGATTGCAACAAGGATCTTTAAACTTTCTATCCTGTCGAACATTTTGTTTAGTGTGACAAGAACTCGCCTGCGACACTAGTACTTTCAAAATTTGTAGCGACTCTGGAAAGTTTGTTTAACTTTTTCTGAAACTGGAGTACTCTGTGGCGGATAAAACCTTATGAGGGACTGGCCCAAACTCGAGCCTGAGTTAGAATTAAATGCAAGGTTTTGCCAAGTTGTTTCAATGTGCTTTTTTGTGAAACACTGACGTAATACTGTTCCAAAAATACCATGCAACGAAATGTTTAACATCCACAGAAAAAGTACAGATAGGATGTTCTGGGTTAAGGCCGGTTCATACTGCGAAAGTGAAAACGAACGCGAAATTTTTCGCGTTGTGAATTTCTTTAAAGTTGAACACATTTTCACTTCGAGCGATATTTCGTTGCATATATTTTTCGTGACGTCAAACTTCGCTTCGCTTTCGCCTCAAGTTTGAACCGGCTTTAAGACTTCAAATAGATTCTGTTTATAAAATGATATTTTGGCGACAATACAAATTTCTGTAGAGGCTTAAGCTTAACATGCAGGAAAATCAGGCTCCACCCAGGGATCTCATCGACAAATGAAAAAGTCTCATGCTACAATTTAAACGAAATAAATAAAAAAAAATCCTTCGGGTAGGCCTAGTTGTTGACTTCCCTACAAGTATACATTTACTGGAATTAACTTTGCATAAGAAATGTAAGTTGAGAGCACATCTTATGCGTAAGCTTTCAATTTATGAAGTTGTTGCTAAAAATGATTACGTGTTTGACACGACAGGAGTAGTTGTCAACAGCCAGGGGACGACAGATGCTCCCGTGGTGCCCGGCAATGGTACCGGTGTAACGCTCAACATCACAGGCGACCACTCAACCGGAGCTCCCACTGCCGCACCACTACCGAGCAAACAGCACATTTTACTGCTGGAACTCATGGCTACCGAGTCGGACTCATTCAATGTCAGCATCGCAAACCTTCTCGACAATTACAATGATTTAGAACTCGAGGTGAAGTTTTTGTTTGTTGTTGACCATAATAATTAGGGAACAAAACTGTGGAAAAATAAATCGGAGTTAGTAAGGTTATTGATTAATAATTATTTTGTAAGCTTCGACCAACTTTTGGGGAGGGGAGACTGCCCAACAGTTTTATCCTCATGAACGTTGATTGTAAGCAAGACAATATCCAACGATTACCCGTCTTTAGAGTTTGTAAACCGACCATGCATTCGAGACACCATGTTGTTTGTGGATTATAGAATGCAGGTAGCATAATCTGTCTCCTTTGAATTGGAATAGTCGACACGGTTCCCGTTCTCCCAATATCACGGGTGCGTTATATAGCTTTACACCAGAGTCCAAATCCTGCAATTCTGAGATAGTTCCACAAATTTATCACAGGTAGTTACAATGATTATAAACAAATGCAGTATTCGAAATTATCTTCAAAATGTGAATTTAGGCCTTCACGTTTATTACGTCCTTCAACTTAATTCTAAAGATTCTACTCTTTTGGTTGTGTACGGAACTCAAGTGAAAACAACATTTTTCTAAAATACTCCCACTTATTTTTAATCTGCGAATAATTCTTAACATAAACCGCGAAGGCAAAACTTGTTGTGCACACAAGTTGTGCACAGATTCGAGTTGTTGTCATCAATTTCTCCTTGCAATATGTGCTGGAACAGTTGGTAGCACGATGGGCACGGTCTGCACCCCCCCTTAAGCTGTGTGTTCTGAGTCCAACCAAATTTTGATGGTTTGGACCATAGACAAAAATAACCTGTGGTTTGGACAGACTGTGTTAGCGCCCTCATCTGCGATTTCTTCACTGACCTACCTCCAAGCTGTGCGTGAAGTGTCTAGACAATGCTGCAAAGTAGCCTAATAACATTATCAATAAAAGAAGAAGTACAGGGCAAACTGGAAATACTTGTTTGATCGTCACGAAACGTTGTTGCAAAACTGCGATTATAACCACTCGTTCAGAAAATGTGTCAGCGTCTTCGAACGTTCCCTCCTCACAGATTTTAAATAAGAACAAACTCTAATGTTCTTCACAATTTTGTTCCATTGCAGGAGTTACTGCAGTTTATATACTACAACGACACGTACATTCTCAGCCCGGACCAGCGGCCGGATATTAGCAGCTTCGACATAGCCATCCGCATCATGTCTGCCATGCTAGACGTCCTTGGGGAGGAAGGTGTCGACCCCACCCCGCGAGAGATCCTCTGCACATACATCTACGTCGGCGACTTGACTAACATGCTGTTCGAGGAGACCAGCCTAACTGATTTCAGTGATTTCGGAGAGCTCAAAGGGCTAGTGACGGTAATACATGTAGAAAGCCTACACAAAATCTTTTGGTCGTCTCATATCGGTTACTTTTGAGACATTCAGGGTTATAACCAGTGCGAGGGGCACTCAAGACGAATTGTACAGGTACATGTATTCAGAGGGGCAGAGGGACATGTTGCCATCTTGGACAGAATTGAAATCATCATCAATCTGGGAATGGTCTAACATCTTGGGGGGGGGTTATTTTATGAATGAAACAAAAAGGCGGACAATCATTTGGTTTAAATCTACATTTTGTCTTCCTGTTTTCAAAACCAGTATAGGATATTGCTTATTGAGAGAGGAACTCAATGGTGTGAGTAAATACACTGGACAGCAAAACTTGCCACTTCTGTCAAAGGCCACACATAAAAATTCACTCCATAGACATAAACAATTTTTGTACACAGGTATGCTGCAATACCCCTTACTAATCACATGCCCAAAACTAGCAAAAGCAAGTGATTAACAAAGAAGAAATTGACATGCACAGCAACTTGGTTACTAAATCAAAAGTCACACACAAAAGCATTCTCCACAAAGCAAAAATGACCCAGGAAAGGACAACATTTTAACCAACCAATAACAAAGTGAACACCTGTTTTCTCAAAATGATGTGCGTGAGTGGTTTCTGTTTAGGGATGCCATCCTTACTGACTATGCATATACATTATTGAAAAGTAATAATTGTGACTTCTTTATTTCGTCCTGTGACATTGATTTCTGCGTAAAATTTAAGGCTCATTCTGTTACATTCTGTGACTTTTGATTCAGTAACCAAGTTGCTGTGCATGTCAATTTCTTTTGGTTATAAAGATAATCACTTACTTTGGGCATGTGATTAGTAAGGGGTATTGCGGCATACCTGTGTACAAAAATTGTTTATTTCTATGCAGTGAATTTTTATGTGTGGCCTTTGACAGAAGTGGCAAGTTTCTTTTGCTGTCCAGGGTATATAGCTTTCTCTGTGTATTCCTGAAATCGGGAATCAGCGAAGAATACGAATGCAGAGATCGAGTGGGATGTCTCCAGTAAGCAAAGCTCAAGTAATACAGGCACATCTTAATTTAAAATTCAACATCAAGGATGGTGTAGTTTCTAGATACTAGGGTTTTCCCTCGATATAAAACGCTGAATCATTGAAAATGTTACTTCATAGCTTAAGCATCCAAATAGTATCCTTTTTCTTGCGAAAAAAATTACACAACTAACTATACACTATTAAAGACCACAATAAAGAGGCATTTTTTAGCTCGAAGGTAGACATGTCTTCAGTGCAGTTCACTTACTGACTAACGTGGTTACTTTCTTCTCCACTCAGTATATCATTGAGATTTGCGACGCTCTAATCAATCCGGCTAATCACGAGGACTGGCAGGAAATCAGGAAGGTAGGTTCCTGTCGATGTTTCGGGAACATTTTCCCTGGTGTTTACAATAGTAATTACATGTAATATAATCACTCTGCTTCATGAGTTTAGGCCACGGAGGTGTTTTGCCCCATAGCACCTCATCCTTGAAACGCTTTAATGCTAAACGATCAAAACTCGGCCAATTTCCGGCTGTAGCTCAAGTCTACGCTATACAGTCTGCCCCAGCACATGACATTAGTACTTGTGAAGATCCTGAGAGCGACTTGCAAACAAGTCACTCTCTTTTTCAATAATAATGATAATTTAGCTTTATAAGTACCGTAAATATTTTCTGTACCAGGTGTTCCCAGCCTTCGCGTCTGTAGTGGGCACTGTTGACACCCTGTCTATCTTTCTAGCGAACGTGTTGGAGACACCAGGAAAAATATTTAGCAGCGTCAACAACATAGGTAAGTTGCCGGAGATAGCTATGATTTTGGCCAACGAAGAGTTTAACATGTGATTTTGAGGTAGAATTGTAGAGCAGCTGTATGTAGGGAGAAAAAATAGACATTTGGAAAATCGAAGAGTTTGTTTTTTTAAAGCTTCATTAATAATTAAACCATTAAAATGCGCTTTTATTTGTGTACAGATGGAACAAGCTTATCTGCATGTCATGTCATGTCATGACATTTTGGGGGAAAAGTTGAGAATTATTGAGTTCGCCATATTCAACAGTAAAGGAAAGCCTGCATTGATAAGGATTCTTGAGACTGGATTAAAAGAGCTTTTTCGTTTATTCGAAACTAAGACGCAATTTAAGGTCAAGTGGGTCCGACTTCTGCCGGAACTGACACACAGATTGGCCTAACGGGTATCTTAAGCAGGACATTTTTTTTTCATTCACACGAAGCTAAAATAGTCCTTGTTTTGCAGAATATAATCTCGAAAAGAAGGCTTGGAGCAAATTCCTGGAGGGTGACATTTTCTTCGAATTTGACAAAAATGAAGGCATAGCTGTGCCGCTGGATTATCTGCGGATGATGGAATTCGAAGGTAATTACCTTTGCCAATATCATATTGGACTCATTCCAAACCTTACGCATTACGTTTTTCGCGAATAGGCCATTCATTAACATAACTTGAGCGAAACTAAATTTTCGAAAACTGGAATTTTTAATCTTCGTTTAAAATGGCAAAAATTGTTGCAAAGCCGCTTTCACACGATGAATCTAAAATGCACTTTTTAAAATTGAAAGCAAATTTTCAAACAACTTGTGAAGTGTGACATGTTTCTCTTTTGTTTACCGTGTTAATTCCAGTATCTGACGTAGTGACACTGGTTGGTGTTCGTTATCGCAATATCAGTGATATCATGGGTACCAACCAAACGGGAGCGTCTTGTGTTACCGATATCAGAGGAAACAGGTAGGAAACTGGTCCTATATTCCTTAATTGCGGTCGAACATTACAACTCACTTTTACGTCTACACTCTTTGAAATATGTATAAGTAAAAACAATCTACAGGCCTGCAACTTCATTTAGGGGAAAGACTGTTCACAGTTATCAGTTAAGATACGATTGTTCCTGAGCTAATTGTCCAAAATCGATGGAGTTTGGGTTTGCTGACTTCTGCTTGTTTTATCTGTCTGCAGTACTTACATCAATGAAAAATATTCAGCTAGATTAGTACTAGTTTCCTATTAGTTGTCTCTATTATTCATAGAAATTAGAGGTTAACTGAAACGTGAAATCAAAGTAGACACGTAGACTGACCATTGGCGTATACTTTAGATTGGAAATCGCCAACATCATTCATACTCAAACATCATTTTCTTTTGAACACTTCCCCTCTTTTTTCCTGCAGCACATTTAGGCCACGAGTGCTGTCGGCGGATGTAGTCTCTCTTACAGCCGTCAAGGAATCCGATTTGAGTCAGACATCAATATCACTGACATATAGACTGTATCACGAGGAACAGGTAAACGGCCACAACAGATAATAACGGATGTATTTGCACACACTGTACATTCAAATTGCTTGGATTACACTAAGCTTTAACTTATTTTGTCATCAATGTTTTCGTCTTAACAGTGAATGATTACAAGATTACATGGAACAATGTAACTTTTTAGTTGCATACTGGGACAAAGGTATTAATCTTGGTTACGCCAGAATAAACAACTTTTCACGCAGTTTTGGGTCAATTTCATGCAGACAAGTGTACATTTTAGTTTAAATCGAAGACATCGAGGACAAAAATAATGGTCGGATGTTGTTCCAAATTGTAAGTTACTATTCACCTGCTTTGTATAATATGAAATGTTTTGTGCTACCATAATTTTCCTTAATGTTTCATAATTTTATTTTCAGATCAAGCCCCATCAAGAGGCAATTTGCGCTTTTTGGGATTTCACAGATCAGTGAGTTTTTCAATTTCGGTTTTCATTTCAAGCAAATCAATCGGGCCTTGTTCATTTTTGTTTCATCAAAAAAACATCGATCGTGTTCTCTTATTGGCTGATTTGGAGACTGGTCCCTCTTCCACTAACCACATAATTGTATTTTTGCTTTATTTAATTTGAACTTAGAAAATAATATTTAAGATTGGTAGTGAACAAATAAAAATAAATGTATTTAATGTCATTATCTTAGCATGCATTCAATTAAAACTATTTGCAGTGGATAGTAATTCTATTATTATATTATTTATGTTAGCTTACATAAAACTAGGGATAAGGAATACATACAAATGATTTCTGTGAAAACGTGAAAGTAACTGGTCCCCATTTTCAGTACAGTTGTACAGGCTCTCTCCAAGAGACTACCCCGACACTCTTGTGTCTGATTACTTCTTCTCTTGCCAGAGTTGATGAAGGCGGTGTTTGGAACAACGAGGGTTGCTCGCTGGTTGAAAGCAGCTCCAGCCCAGACACCACGCTCTGCGTGTGCAATCACACCACCAATTTCGGTTTGCTTGTTCTCGATTCTGAGGAGGAGGTAATTATGAATATGCCGGTGATCGACGCATTATTAATAACTGAAGTATCGATCATATCCGTCAAGGGCAAATGGTTATACCTGAAGGCAATTATGCGTGCCCTTTTTTTCGATTGTCCTATTTCGCTCACAATTCCTACATGGAAATAAATTGAGCCTCTGAAATTCTTTCATTTCAATGAATGTCCCTATGGCTGGTTCTGGTCAAAAGGTTATTACCCACAGCAATGTAAATCAAATTGCAATAAAAATCATTATAAAAGCTACTGTATTCAAGGCTGTTTGCTTAGGCTAACAAAGGTCGTTTTATCATCTTGATTCTAGAAATTTTGTTTCATATTCTTGTGAAATCAGGATACCATAAGTTGGAAATATAAAATTGATCACAGATAATTGATCACAGATAAGCGTTATCGTCGTCGTTTTTATCATCTTGATTCTAGAAATTTTGTTTCATATTCTTGTGAAATCAGGATACCATAAGTTGGAAGTATAAAATTGATCACAGATAAGCGTTATCAAAAGGTATATCTCAATTCGATCGATACAGTAACTATCAGCTGTATTATGGATTTCTCGTTTCTGATTACTTATTTCCTCTGCTTCAGTACAATTATTGTTCCCATTTTGTCCTGCTTTTGATGTCAGGTGATCAGCTATCATTTTATCATTCATACCTGGCTAATGACTGTCGGTGGGGGCGTTTCAGCTGTCCCGTTAGTCGTGATTCTAGTCATTTTGATATACCTCAGGTAAGAACATTGAAAACCACGATGGATAGTTTGATGCGAGTGCTCCAAACTAAAAAAAAACGATTGAATAAAGGACTGTCTTTTAACGCTCATCGTTATGGGAACGATTTAAATTTTGTTGCCCATAATGACTAACTATAAATATTGCTGCTCTGTTGTAATGCCAATAGGCCTACTCTTGGATTTAAGAAAGGTTACACTGTAGTACACTGTAATTAGAAGGTATTCAGTCAAAAATTTTATTCATTCATACAAGCACTATTCATACACTGAATGCCCCGCTCTCAATTAGAATCAGTCAAAAGCACTGATATATTTTTTTATGTAATTTCGTAAATAAAAATACTAAGATGGTCTTTTCTATATATATGTACTGTTTTATATCCTTACAGTAATCTAAATAGTCGGCGTCGGATGGCACAAATAAGTTTTATCCTATGTTATCTCATCCTGATGTTGCTGTACGCCACAGCTAATCTTGCAGAGCTCAATCAGGTCAGTGAGATGGATTTCTTGATCATACAGGCCATAGCCCCTTTTGGCAACCGCGTTGAAGATTTTTCCATGAACAGAAGCAAGACTAATTGGTCTGCTGAGAGGTACCTATGGCTCAAATAGCATTGCTCTTGGATCAGTACTTTGTTGAGCTAATCACTAGACTGAAAAAAGGCAGACTATGTTGCTCAGCTTTAAAGGATGTTGAAATATTTCGCTGTTGCTCATCTCGAGTTGAACCCTTTAACTTGCCAACAATTAGGGTTGAGGTTCATTGGTTTGAATTGGGGAGAGGGCGCAGTAACCCGTGTTCAAGACAGAGGTTACCATCACAAATTTGAGAAGGACAAAAACCTGTTTGAGACCATGGCGGAACTATTGAAAATGAGGCTCCTAATTGTATTACTTCTGAGATTGTTCCAATAACTCTTTTAATTGTTTTTTTTTTTTTTTTTTTTGGGTTTGTGTTTGCTATGACACCAGTGGGCTTGCATGGGATTTGGTCTGGCGTGCCACCTCTTCATTCTTGCAGCCTCGTTCTGGCTGTTTGTGATTGCAACGCTCCTCTTCACCAGGGTGACCGAGTTTACCAAAGGGGAGGTTAAGACCTGGCACTGTCTTTTTATCGGTTGGGGTAAGTCAAAATTACGTTCTACCTTTCATAACTCTTGAAGGTATAGTAACAGCACCCAAAATACATGCCCACTCCATCGAAAGCTATGTTCCAAATCATCCATTTTTCTGTAACTGTTGTTTTACTGATGTTATGATTGATTTTTATAGTTTTACCGATGGTGATTGCCGGTGGCATAGGCGGTTGGAAATGGGCACTTTATGGTAGAGGAACAAGGTAAGCATCGGTACGGTAGGTGTAATGGGTTGTGTCAAAAACAAGCTGCAAAAATCGTTTTTTTTTCTGAGGTATATTTTTCCAAAGTTTGTTTTTCCCAAATACTTTTCCCCACAATTTGTTTTTGCGAGATATGTATTTAAAGTTCTTTTTATAGCTCATTATAATGAACTCAGATATATGTATCTCTTTAATTAAACAGATTTTGACGAAAAGAGAAAAGATGATTTTGAAAAATATACCTCGTAATAACGAACTTGAAAAAAACCCCGCATATATCGTAAAAACGAGCTTCGGAAAAGTAGGCCTACATTTCGTAAAAAACGAATTTGCAAAAGGGCATGTCATACAAATGAACTGTGAAAAAAAATACTGTAATTTTTGAAAATGTATATTCTATGGCACTAGTGAGCTCCCACACGGAACCGTAAAAGTGGAGATGCTTTTTGCATTTTTCTTTGAAGTTAACCAGTCAAGTCACAGCATTGTTAATAGGACAGAATCAGTGCGCAGCGGCAAGCCGTTGCCGTTGCGTTGTAGAGACTGCAACCGGTGCTCGCGAGCACAGATTTCAACAGTTCGTGCAAATTTTGAGATGTTTATTCGGACATCGCCCTAACGATGCCACATACTCATGTCTTGTGGTAGACATAGACAGCCAAGGCTCAGGAGTCAGGGTCCGGTTTGTTGCAGAAGATGCACATGGACGTGGCACCATCTCCTGCCGGCCTTCAACCCATAGTGTCCTCATCATTTCGGATCGTGCCTACTTTTTCATGTAGTTTGATTTGTAAAATTGCGGTCATAATTATCTTTGTGTCCAGGTGCTGGCTAAACGCTGGTGACGTCATCATCAGCGCAACTTATTTCTACCCGCCAATCGTCACCAGTGCGGTGAGTTGGTTTTTGAGTGGTGATTGGTGAAAACAGATAATAACGATGTTTTTTTCACTGTTATATTTTTAATCGAACTAAGTTTATTCTGATGGCTCAGTGAAGAAAGGGTTGAGTGTAAAACAATGGATATCCAGGGATGAATGAAGACTCTTGACAGAAGAACCATCAAAGGACAAAACATTTTTTTACAATAACGCGGCACAGTTACAAGGGTCTCAGGTGAGGGTAAGGTGACATCTTGCCGAAATTGTTCTGTACATACACAAGAGATTGTTTCAACATTCATCAGGTTAAAGCTACTCCCGAATCTACATTTGTGGTTAATAAAATACAATATTGTAAACAAACAAGTCTGCTTATAGTACATTATCTAAACAACCAGTAGAGAATTATATCCAGCCGGGGGGGGGCAGGAGGGCAACTTGCCCTCCCCTTACAGAATTTTTGAGTAAGGCTTTTAATATTTTGTTCTCCCCAACATCATGTTGAATGAACCTAAAGCCGCGTTAGCTTTTTTAATTTGTCCCCCCCGCCACACCAAAAGCCGGACACGCCGATGTAAACAACTGACCACGTTCTGTGCGTTCTGAAAAACTTTCAAGATTATTTTCATCTTTTGAACAGCATTTTAAACTTTCATTATATGCATACAAGAAGCTCATGTCAAGGTTTATTTTCCTACTTCTGGTTTGTAGGCGACACTCTTTATGCTACTCTTCTCCTTACGAGCCATTCGGCTGTCACAGAAGCACGCCCTCTTTGTCAGGGAAAAGGAGGAACTCGATAAAATTAAGTGAGTTATTGAAAACTTCAACATTTAAATTGTATGTAAATTATTTAAATTATTAATTTGGCATTTTTTGTGTTCAGTCACTTTATATATAGTCACATTAACTTAAAACATTTAACTTAGAAAGAAAAATTAACCATTAACTTAATTCACTTGAGAATGAAGGTGCGTGTGCAAAGAAAAAAAACAGCCTTGTTCACATAAGACAGGTCTCTTTGTTTATACGCTTTGTTTTCAATCTTTCCACTTTTATTCAAAGGGGTACATGCCGGTGTTTTGTTGCCGTCCTCGTGTCTGTTGATCTTACCATTTTCACTGGCATGAAGTCGTTTGAGATGGAGATGCTAGGCTACGCGTTTGGTGGTTTACTCTGCGTTCAGGTGAGTACTGTTAATGTTTAACATGAATTCAGCATTGTGAGTATTTCTAATATTACTTTCATCTGGAGGTCGGTTCATACTTCCCGCAAAAGCAAACACAAACGCGACTTATTAGTGTTGTGAATTCGCAAACGTTGAACATATTTCAATTCGAGCGAAATGTCGCTGCAAATCTTTTGTGTCGTCAAATTCGCCTTTATTTTGGAATGACTCTAGTCCACAATTTGAGTTGATGCAGTGTAGGCTATGTTTGAATCAAGCTTTATCCAACTCCTTCAGATCACGTTGTTTTCGAACTTAAGATTTACTCACTATAGTTCCTATTCATTTGAAATGTCATAGCACGGTACTTGTGGCATCATTAAAAAAACAATTTTATGTGAGTTCACTTTACATTGGATATGCGATCAAAATTTGCAGGAACCAAGATGAAGAGTGTAATCTTTACATACACTAAGAAACTGTGGAATTGTGAGTTGTATTAGTGGTATGTGATACTATGAATAACAACCCCAAATTATGTCAAATATCACATACATGTATCTGTGTTTATTAAAAAAATGTTATTTTCCTTCATTTAGGGTCTTGTTGTTCTTCTTGCAGAGTTAATTCTTAATTCGGAGGTAAGCTGGCAATTGATATAGTTTTGTTGATTGGCTGTCATTTACTAACATAATGGCGTATATTGAAAAGTAAATGGCAATCAGTTGGAGGCGTTGTTTAGCCATTTCGAACGCTGAGGGCGTACAGTTATGCACTTAATGCGTAATGCCGTTAGCAGTTTTGAGTATTTCTTCCACAGAGGAGTGTATTGCAGGTGCCTATTTAAATACATCACTTGTAATCGTTTCTGATTTTGAAATCAGTTTTGTCCACTTTTCCTACAGATTAAAGTTGCTTGGAAATTAAAAAAGGACCCTCCAATTCAGATCAAGAATGAGGATGAAGATTGTGATGACGTAAGATATGCTTTGCTCTAGTCTTGTCTGTAAATCGACCATTTTTTATCAACATCAAAATGTATTGATTTTCTTGACATTTTTATTACATTTTTATTCGCTTAAATGTATGTCGTTTGCCGCACTATCGGAATTGTATGCTTTCTAAGCTTTTGTTGAAATTGTCCTTTTACATTCAAGAAGGGCTGCAACCTTTTCTATAGGATTTTGTGTGCTCCTTTCTCAACGCTTAAACTTAAAATGGTACTACAGAATTCCTATGCTTACATGCTTTCTGGCGCATTTTAGTAGTGCAGGTAATGCAAGAAACACAATTTTTTCCCTTTTTTCTTTTCCATAGGATCTTGACATAAAGCCCAAATGGAAATTAAACCTGGATGCCTGTAAGTAATGGAGATATTTTAAGTTCCTAGGAAAAGAGTGAACTTTACCGTTCAAACCTCTTTTTATGTTAGAACGAACCAGAAATTCCACATTGAAATGACGAAAAATTGATCTAACGATGTAACATAGTGACAAGGCCGTAAGGTTTCTGGAGGCAAACATATCAGTGGACACTGTTTTTCCATTTTTTTTTTTTTGGAATCAGGCTTTTGCCATGGGCCTTCATGTCAAGAAATCAAAATCAACTCAAGAAGGAAACTAATTGATATCACTGTGACAAACAACACTCATTGTCAACTTTTTTTCTGAGCAATGTCTTTGGAGTTTACTATAGAGAGATTGTTTGGAGAAACATTTCACTAGAATTAAATAAAAATGCACCGCGTTGACTTAATAGTCCTGGGCATGTCAAAGGGGGTATTTTTCCCGTGTACACGGTACCGATGTGACCCTTCAATCTCACAAGAAGAGGGCATTTTCATGAACAAGTGTAATCTTGCTCACCAAAATGAGAGAATACCGTGACTTCATAATGAATCAAGCACACACTTAAAATGTAAAACATTGTCATTTCTCATTCAATTGTTTCAATTCTTTGGTGGCAATAGCTATGACTGTGGATGACTATGATGATGACGACAGAGACATCTACTCGGAAGTTTCGTCTCGCCCAGGAACAAGTCGAGTAAGTCACCATACACACGTTGTAAGGTTACTGGTGAGTTTATTGGCTACCGCTGGCTTCAAGAATTCTCTCCAAAGAGAATCGAATTTTTTTCAAACTCAAAAAAGTACAAAGTATCATCTTTGCCATCATTTTTTGGGGATTCAATTCTAGAAATTGTACAACTTCAGTCCTACTCTCTTTTCTGTCGGTTCTCACGAACAGGAAAAGGGTTATTATCTCCTAAGATTGGAGGTTGTAATGAAAGCAGTTTGAGTTAAAAAATACTTTCTCAGTGATTTATCTTTTTGTCTGTTTTAAATGCGGAAATGCACATGGCATGTGAAATGATTTAATTGTATGATTGATCTCATTTCTCAGAGTGCGATTACCGTGGGTGACATCCAGTATGAAGAGGCTAATTACACAAGAAACACCCTCCGACCGACAATGATCCCGCCGGGCGGAGGGCGCCGCAGCCCGCGACGCACCGAGGGTAGGCGAACTCCGAGACGTAGCGCCGATAGCCGAACTCCGAGACGCAGTGCCGGTAGCCGGACCCCAAGACGGAGCACCGGTAGCCGGACCCCCAGGCGCAGCGCCGGTAGCCGGACCCCCAGGCGCAGTGCCGGTGACGGGGCCAGCCAGGGCAGAAATTCTGCGGACGGGACAAAACGAGGTGGTTTCATGGAGGAGTTCCCCGTCAAGATGAAAGGGAAAGGTGGCTACGGGACCACAGACTACACCAACCTCATTACCAACTACGGAGGAGGGAAGAAGGGCGATGTCTCCAACTTACTCCCCAAGCCCAAACGGACCAGCATACCAGGCTCCATCGACGACCCCGAGGAAGACGTAAAGCACGCCAGACAGCTCAGCCCTGCCGGCAGGAAATCGGCCGACGGACGGGAACCATCTGATCTCGGGGAGAGGCTGTCCCCCGAAGGAGGCTACGGGGAAGACAACGACGGGTATCAGGGAGACGATGGGGATTACGACGACGAGTATAACGAGGGAGCCTACGACGAGGATGAGTACAATGACGGGGAATATGATGACTACTATGACGAGAACTACGATGAAAATTATGACGAGAATTATGACAACTATGACGAGAATTATGATGAGAATTACGATGATTATGGTTACGACGAAAATGAAGTGTGAGGAAGAAGCTTCATAGAGTGGTTCAAAGTGTTTCCTCGTAAACCCACTGAAAAGAAACCTTCACAACAGTCACCTCCATTTTGAAAGGTCATTTAACTTGTCGGCGAAGTGACATAAACATGATGAAACAGTCCTGCCAAACTTGATTCGGTCTGATTGATCGACTCATCATTGACTCATCATTGAAAATTTACATTGTAACTCTCGTCATTATAATTATAACCATTAAATGAAAAGTAACTTCCCGTCCAAAATTATGCAAGGCGTTGTTTTCTTTCAAATTCACTCCAAGCATCTTTCTAAATATTCCCTAAAATAGGTACCGGTGTGTTACATTAATTTTACTTGCATTCCCTACTCGATAGTGACCCTAATATTTCAACATGTCATTCAGGTTTTAAGGTTTGTTTCCGGATTTCCATTATTCTTTTTTTCAGCCCTAGTCATGTTATGATATACCTCTTCCCGCCCCTACATGGCGCAAACTTCACAGGAAAAGGAGCTGGGAATAGTTTTTGTTGGAGGGGGAGGGGGGTAAAATCGCATTGCCAGATTTATCTGTAACTAGGAGAACGTCAACAATAACGTCTTCCCTCTAAAGCTCCAAGCACCGGTGCGGTTCCACACTGTACACCAGCCACTACGGGCGTTGCTATAGAGGTGGAGTGTCGGGGTTATCACACCCCGTTTGGTTACTTTTGTCGGCGAAATCATGGTCTGTCGGCAAAATAACAAAAAAAATGAAGAACAGAGAATGAAGATGAAGGGAAGGGGAATACAGTACACTCGCAAATTCCATGTGGCACCCCACCCCCATACAAAATGGTCTAGCGACGCCCGTGCCAGAAACAAATTATAATTTTCAAAGGTATGTTTTATCTGTTACTGTTTTCCAATCGGATTCAAATTTTAGGAGACGTTAGATTTTGTTGAAATGTTTTGCCAAATAGTAGGGAATTTCTCAATTTTTTTGGGACAGTTTAAGGCATTTAAACAAAAAATAAGGGGAATTATTCTCAAGATTTCCTTCTTAATTTATCTTTAAAGAATTAGCTAAACGTAGTCAATGGTAGTTTTATGTACATAATTATGTAGAAAATGTATCGATAAAGGTGTACATTGATCTATAGATGTTATTGTTTGCAGACCATTTATGTCCTCAAATGAGAGTTATGTGTGTTAACTGCTGCTTTCTAGAAGTGTTTCTAGAAAAAAGTGTATATTAAAGAAAGATATTAGCGATAAAACTAAAAATAGATCTGCAACAAACAAAAAAGAAAACACGTTGTGTATCTGTGTGGCTGCAGTCTTCGAAAAGTCCTTTGGCGTCATTTTAATTTCTGTCTGAAAGAGAATTCGGTATGTATCCAAATTCTCGAGTTTTACAAACATCAACAAGACTCTCTTAGAAACATAACCTTAATGAAACATGAGGTAAGGTGATTTTTTTTTTCATGTTTGTTGGCGAGTGAGTCTACTTGGTGACTGGACGCAGACCTCTTGCTCTCTGCCACTGCTGCAGATTTGCTTAAATAATCGAATGCCTCTTATCCACCGCACCAGACATGGCATATTAGACGGTGGCAACCAGGGCCGGATGGGGGGAGCAAAACGGGGACCATGCCCCATTAAAAGGAGAATTATTTTTGAAATTATGAGATGGAGATGATTTCTCAGCAGTATACCCTTCTTCTCCTTCCTAGCAGAGGGTAAAAAGCACCTTTAAGATGGAGTTTCAACTTTAAGAAGACCATAAAAGGTTACGTAGAAAAATCAGACATGTTGCAACCCCCATCTCCCCAAAAGAGAAAGTCCCCGAAAGCTGGTTTTGCATGGATCGCCCTTGTTGACAACTTGCAATGGTACATTATGGCGGTGGCACATAATGGGAAGATCGAGGATTAAGTTGAGAGTACCCGAGGGTCTGTACCATTGTCCCCAGTGCGTGTGTCCTCGGCTATTTGAGACAAAAGTCGCAGTAAATCGTGGGATCTTCCAAGATCTTGGCTTTGTCTCCGTTCCAAGACTAAAGTGTTTGATAAAATTTTGATGAAACAGAATTAGAAATGGCTTTAGCACAAAAATGAATTTGCTTTTGTCACAAGCGAAGTGGTGGCATTTTACAGTTTTATGTTTATTATATGATCCCAGATCCCTTTAATGACATTTAATTAAAGTAATAACTTTCCATGGAGAAAGAGGTGCAACACAGGAATAATATTGTTTAATTTATATATTTATTTTGGAAGCAAACGCTAGTTTGGAAAATCGCCATGACAACTATATTGACAATCAGCACACGATGAAAAATTCACATAGGAATCAATAGCCACTGTCCGTTCAAACCACGAACCATCATCTACGAGTTTCGTCAATACATCTCAATCGACTATGTCAACAAATGTGGAAAGGAAGCCATATCAAAATTCATTGCATCTCAATGCCACAATTATTCAGTTTACAGTTATTGATTAGCGTGAGAGTAACACTTGTTAATCACGATAGCGTTCCTTCTTTTTGTTCCAGTTCCGCAAGCTGCACTAAATGCGTGCGCACCGTGAGACGAGTTGGTTGAGCGTTTCGCCTCCCTCCATTTAAACCCCTGTGTAAGGAATTCAGCTGTAGTCCCGGAACATTTTGGAACTCTTCGAGTTGAAGGAATAATTGCATTCCCATCAAGCGCGTGGGCAGGAATTTCCTTCAGTATTTGGCTACATATCAAAAATTATTCTTTTCCCCACCATTGCGGAAAGGCCACAAGTCATGAATATCTTTCAAGTTGGATGTGCCATCCTCGTACTTGCGGTCCAAAGATCAACGCAGTTTGGTAAGTATAAAAAGTATAATTAGTATTTGACTACTTCCTCCATTCTACTGTAGACATTTTATGTCAGTGGAGGCAGCGACTGTGGGCGGGAGAAAAGAACATAAGAGACAGCAATTGCAATGTCGACGGGATGAGGGGACCCAGTACCAACTTTTTATTTGGGAGGGGGGGACAAACATTTGGAAATATGATTGTGTAACTTTTGTGGACATTTGATGAGGCAAGCTAAAATTTGGAACCTTAACACGCTTTGTATGAGTCAAAGAAGTAATTTCGTCTTTTTGTCATTAAAAAAGATCCTTGAATTGTTTTGGAGATGGGGGCTGATCAGCCAATGACGTGCTTCGGTTGAAGATTGCTTGCTGTCACAATTTTGCACGTTTATTTTGTCTGACAGCATAGGCAACGTGCATTTTACTTGGAAGTGTTCATGTGACGATTTATAGGTCTCAAGTTCTTAACGCACAAAATTCACCTCAGGTCACACTTCATACACACTCTTGTTTCGTTTAACCAGGAATTCCTATTTTTCTGTGACGACTTACACGTAAAAATATTGCAATTAAGAGTAATCTCGACTAAAGAGGAACTCCAGTCCACTATACCTAATAGGTATTTCTTGCCTTCCCTTTGCCAACCAGTAAAGCAGCCGGCGGTTACTTCAACCTGATCATGGTGGGAACTGATCAGCCTGTCTGGCGTCGTCCCTCAGCTCAGTGGACGAGCTGAAGTATCGGCAATCGTTTATTTCAACAAACTGAATGACAGCTTGTCTACTCTCGAGGGGAAAATTATTACTACTCAGTTACTCAGATCGACTTTCCAAGTGATATGAGGAAATAGGGACATTTGAATCAAACGGCCATGGATCATTTCATGGAGCTTTCCTGGGTATGGCGCATTGAAATTAAAACTAACGCAACGGTGCACACCTTGTTTAATTATAAACCACTAAAACAGGCAGAAATCGAACTGCTGGTCACGATTTGTCTTCTGACTACAAGCATTAAACTGTATATGTTACACACGGTATAAAAGTTTCAAAAGCCCTCAGAAAAGCAAAAGTCTACATTTTCATTCATAAATTCCATTTTTGTTTAAAGTCCGCAATGCGATGTTCCGCAATGCGATGTTCCCAACATTCCCAAACATTCTGCGACAGTAAAAACATTGTGTTTTTTTGTGTTTTGTCGGATGGGTAACAAATGCTAACGTTTGAGTGGCGCCAAACAAAACAAAACGAGCAGTGGAAAAATAACCTGGATGGATGGTTCCCGGAAACAAATTTAATAATATATATGTATGATTTTGTTAAAAACATTAATTTTTAAACAGGTGTTGAATAATCTCAAATTTTGGTAACGACTGAGTTGATACTGTGTGGGTGAGGCAAAATTTCGGGTAATTTTTTGCGCTATTTTTTCGGAGGAAAAAGAAAATGGACTAGTCCAACAAATCGTCCCCCCCCCACATATTTAAATAATCAGTGGGAAAAATACTTGTAGGAAGGGGTGCTGTCCTTTGCCCCACTTAAGTGTAATTTTTGTAGATCGTTCAATCACACACTCCATGCGAGTACCCTTTTCTTGGGGAACTACATTTTATGACTTTCAGCAGCGTGGAAGTATATGTATATGATGCTGTAAACAGTCAGAAGCGAGAGAGCACTCCGCGCAGAAGCTGAGGCTGTGCATACATTGTGGAGCATCACCCCATCAAGCAGGTAGAGGGCTACATGCGTGTACACAGTGTGGCACCTTTTCCTCTCGTGCGCCCACCCATCAGATGTTAAAAAATCTGAATGTCTTTCATCACAGCAGACTTATACTTTTCAAGATCGTCAACCATGTCAGCTAGTGTGTGTCACGTTGCTAATAAGTGAAGTCCCAATTACCAATCATTGTCTCCCAGTCAAAGATTTCAGTCAGCAGCACAGCCTTACACTTGATATCTTATTTTGTAATTTTGTCTAAAAAGACCACATTAGATGCCCCTTGCTTTTTAAATACAGGAAAAATTGGGATAAGCTACATCGCAACCCCTGGTATGGTTGTCTCCTCTGGGTTTAAGAGGGGGTAACAAAGCTTATTGCTTGATGCAATTGATAGAGGGGCATAGATATGGCCATTGGCACCTAGAGGCACAGGGGCATTGGTGTCACTTACGGGCCATAAGTAATTTCAATTTTGAATCCAAACAACTGCACTCGTTGCTTTCGGCCAACATTTTTTATTGAAGCCAACAAGATACCGAAATCAGTGATATTTTACAAATTTTATGCTCACCCGTTCATTTTCACTAGATTAAAAATCATTTTGTGCTATATTTGACTTCAGAATTGTATCCAGATGCGGACTATTCCACTCTTCATGACGTACCTCTGCAGGATTTGTTTAACAGTATGTATATTTAAAACATATACTTTACTCTGTATGCTAAGTTTGATAACCACAAATTCTTTTTGAAATAGGCCTAGAGCAACCTATACTGCTTTTGCACTTTTCGTAGAGCAAAGTGTGGAACACTGGCGGTGAAACGATCGTTGAAGGGGGGGGTGAGACCGTCAAACATCAGCCGTTGATAGGTCGATCCATTAAGCCCAACCCCATCTCCCTATTATTGACCCGCAAAAAGTATGCCCCCCCTGCTTCCACCGTCAGGGGTGTGGAGTCAGGTTGGCGTTGTGTTCCTCTCCTCACGTGTCACTCACTGCAACCCAAGATTATTGGCTCAGACTACAGATGGATTGTGTTTTCTTTCCCCACCTAATTCTGTGAGTTTGACCCAGATAGTTACTCTTGTGTTTTCCTCTTCCCTGTAAATGCTGCGACTGCCTCTCATTGTCTACTCTTTGCAGATTTCTTCAGGCTTACTAGCTATAGTTCCCAGTGCCCTTTTATAGAATCCTTGGTTTTATTACCAGAAATGCTTAACAAGTTGGTTTGGCTGGTTTTACGTGCATGTACAAATGGAAAGATATTTTGCTGCTGAAATAACGTATTCCGTTGTTTTCCATCAGTACCACAATATGAAAACTCAAGGCAAAATCCCTACTACAGTCAGGCGACTTACTACAGCACCCTGGAAACTAAATTTGAGGCCAACCTTTCACCAACCGGTGCTGTAAAAGTTTCAGGAAGGGGACAAATTGGTGAATACTACAGACTCACTGGTGCCCACTCCTCTCTCAACCCAGTGTATGAGTCCTCAGGTAAGGTTGTTACCAGCCAAAAATCGGCAGTTCTTAGAAGTTAAATGCCCAAGATTCGCTATACAGTAAATTTTTTTTTATCAGGATTGATGACTATATAGAGACCACCAGAAATGGTATCTATCATAACACAATTTGTTGTGTGTTACAGTAAACCACGTTTTTTTTTTCAACTATTCCTAGGTGGGACCTGCGTAGAACTTGGGCTGGTTGGCTGTGATCGTGGCTTTGCCCTGTCTCTGTGGGTGCTTCTAGAGCCAGAAGCTGCCACTGTAGAAGATACAGTCCTCTTTCTTGCTAGGACTGGTGTATATGAGGAGGACCTTCCTTATTTGGGCATATTCTTAAATGCCGACAAACAGATGAAATTCAAAGGTGAGGTACAACAGATTTGAAGCTCGCTGTGTGAACTTAACCTTCCTTCACTGTTTGTGCAAACAAACAAACAAACAAACAAACAAACAAACAAACAAACAAACAAACACCCCAACAAACAAACAAACAAACAAACACCCCCAACAACCCAACAAACAAACAAACAAACAAATTAACAAACAACACAACAAAGAAAGAAACAAAGAAAGTAGTGTGTAAAATAAACAAATAATAACTTAGTGTGATATTCAACGTCTTTTGAATGGATTATGAAACCTGTTTTTGGTACAATATAGCATATTTTCAGCTTGATTTTGTGAAACTTTGAGCTGATTCTGCCCCCCCCCAGCTGTCCCATGCTTAACCTTTTTGAAACTTAGCAGACATGTAAAAAACACTCGTTATTAGTCCAAATCTGAAGTTTCAGTAAAAATCCAAGATACAGTTTTATTGTTATGGCCATTTGATGTTCATTGCCTCACACCTGTTGGCCCTTGTGCATCGAGCAAGTCAATGAAGAAAAAGTATACATTTGTGTGGCTGACCAGTCTTGGAAAGCTGGGCACTCTGCCAGAACGGTATGTCTGATTTGGTGCTAAAATTGACAGGCAAGATGTTTCTTATATAACTCCTGAAGGCACAGCATGTGAACAAAATACATTTTGACTGACGAACCTGCTGTAAAATTCAGACAACAGAATTTTCAACACAAAGTAAAGTAATTCAGTCTTGGGCCATTTATTTATGTGTACTTAAAATGCATCCTGTAAAACCAACATCCTATGTGCCAAAATAGGTTTGCCGACATTTTTTTGTGCAATGTCAATACAGGTATTTCAAAATAGTGTGCCTCCAAGAGTTTACTCCCAAACTGTTAAAAATTTTAATGTTACATAGGCTTATAAGCATAAAATCAAAGGCTTATTTAAAATCTGTTGACACTTGTACATTAGAGATTTCTCTCATGCTCTAATTTCCATTTTTTTCTCCAACAGTTAATAACGGCAGTCATGTCTGGACAGTTACTGTTCCATTAAGGAACATTCCATTTGGCTCATGGTTCAACCTCGCATTTACTTGGAGTCCTGCCTCAGATATGGCTGCTTACATCAACAGCCATAGGTCAGGTACACTAGATGTGATCCGAACACAATTGCCAGTGGACAATGTGACATCATCACTACCGCCTTGGGTTGTGACCATCGGTGGTACAGGTCAGAGGTCGAGCACATCACCAATGACTGTGTCTGATTTTGTCATCTGGGACAAATATTTATATGAATTTGAAAGCCATCAATTTCTGGGCATTACAGGTATGATAATGTAACGAAATCCTTTTAATTAGGACTCCGCCAGTAGTGGGAACGCACACCAATCAACTAGATAGAAAAGAACTGTTTTTATATTTGCCACTGGCCAAATAGCCTCTGGCATTTAATGAACAAAAAATTATTGCATCCTTTCGGATATTTACAATTTGGCAGTATGGATTCAAATAAATACAGTAGAATCAGCCTAACAAGTTTCTTGGCTGTATTTCACAATCCAATTAGCTCGTGGCTCTAGCCAGCAAATAACTGAATCAAGTGCCATCTTTGAACAATTTGGTGGACACTCAATACTACATCTATAATTATACAGAATAACCAGTAAATTATACAATAATAACAGAATTACAGGAACTACAGGCACGGCTGGGATAAGGCATGGGGCACAAATGAAGATTACAAAATAAACTTACAGAATTTGTCAGGATATCCATGTGTTTCAGTAGTGGCACTCAACTGTATTTCAACTTATATACGCAACAGAAACAAATCAAAACAGCATGTTGCCTTTACCAGCACCCAGTCGCAAATCCTCGACAGGCAATATGGCTCTATCTCTTTATAGAGAGTGCCCAACCCAGTTTTCAACAGAAGGAATGTAAGGGAGTGGCCCTCCCTTCTCTAGCGATACAAAGTAATTCGAATCTAAATGATTTGAGCTCTGCTCAAGGTTATTAAACATGACAAAAGAGTCCTGCTTTAGAAAAGAACGAGCCAAATTTTCAGTATGCAGTGAGCCACGAGCAAACACAAAAAAAGAATTCTAATTCAGTATCAAGAACGATTTTTGTTACAATACTGATTTTTTCCCATCATTAGTTTCTAAAATATGAGAGTTAAGTTAATTTCTGGCAAGTTGGTTGTAATTGTAATTGTCACATGGAAATCTTCAGTTTACTTGCAGCACCCGGAAAATGTATATTTTTACACCCTGTCTTTAAAAAGTTGACCTTTCAAGAGATGCATAATTGCATATACAGGTTAATCGCTCCTAAATGAATTCTTGTATCTGACTGGTGGGACTTTGATCATGTGCCACTAAGTTATTCTTCCAAGTATGTAGCATGAACAAATGCATGACTTCTGCACAAAAAGTAGCTCTGACCCTACTGAAAATGTCCAATTCATTTACCTATTGAGACCAACTCACTTACCCTTTGTATCCAATTTACTTACCCACTGGATCTAATTCACAAACCAATTGGATCCAATTCACTTACCAATTCAATAATTAATTCCAAAATCAATTGCTTTTGCTTGGAATCAATTGGAATCCAATTGGGTTCAATTGGTTTGAATAGTAAATTCAGATCTTTTCTCAGTTGGACCATTTCAAACCAATTTACACCATTTGAATGCCAACTAATAATCCAATTGCAACCAACCGAAGAACCGATTGCAACCATTTCAGTACCAATTCAAACCAATTGAGCCTCATTTGAATAATCCATTTGATGGTGGAAACAAGCTGGAAGCAAACCAATTGGAACCAGTTGCATCCCATTTGAAATTTCCAATTAATCCAGGAAAAGAAACAGAAAAAGCATACCAATTGGAACGTTGATTCCCATTTGAATTCCAATTGATTGGGGAAAATTAACAGCAAAGAACAAAATGCCAATATTGAAACCAATTGCATCCCATTTGAAATCTCCAATTGATGGGGGAAAACAAATGGGAAAGAAAACACACAAACTGAAACCAATTGAGCACTACATCTATAATCGCATTCAGTTTCTGAACTCGAATGTAATGGTATACGTTTTGCAGGGATTTACTCTGGCATTGTACAAAACAACAAATGTTTCACATTATTGTGCAGTAGGAAGAATAATTCATGCAGTGACAGGTGAAAATGGTCTGTCTATTTCACTGGATTTGTTTTTCGGTTTGGAGAAGAACATAATTTATCTGTCATCTCATGAAATTATTCTCAACATTGTACTCACAAACAATTTGATGCGTTATCATTTACTGTCCCCAAACCTCCAGGGATCACTGCCTATATTCTACATGAGACTGGGGATTTTAAAGCACATTAACTAACTGAATTTGAAATAGAGTTGTAAGTGTCCATCAATATATCAAGTAACACCCCACTCCTGGGTACATAATTAAGAACAATATTTCAAGACAAAATAGGGCGCACAATTTTATATAAGTGTTTTTTGTTCAAAAGCCTTGTATAATTCACATATGCATGTAGGGAAGTCCACTGTCTACAATTCTGCACAAGGGCTTGGACATGTATAATTTAAACTGTCCAATTTATCAATTACAATGTAAACATCATCAAGGACAAAGATAGGTTGACAATCTACAACTGTGTGAGCTTGCAGTAACCATCACTTTGGTTATCCACATCTCTGCTATCTTCATAATCTATTTCATTTATTTATTTTTATTTATATCTGTTCATCCAACAGCGCATTACAGGATAAAGTAACAATTAAGAAGGCAATGAAGAAATATTTAGTTTTAGAGGTGGAAGGAAAACCCAGGATGAATATTCCAGGGAAAATTCACGGAATCAGGCATTGACTGAAAACCCAATCCACATGCTGACCTCGGCAGGATTCGAACCTGGATCATAGAGGTGAAAGGAAAGTAAAGCCACTACATCAACCTGACTCCCCTAAATTTGAATTTCAATTTGATTGTGCCCAACACTGTACATTTTGTACCACACACAGCTGATGAACTTCAGGTCCTGCGCAGTGCTGACTATCTGTGGACGACAGATGGCTACTTCAGGCGAGACCACGTATCCCTCTGGACACAGCCTGGTATCGCTGCTACAGGGCCCATCACCCACTCCTCACATTGGATCCAAGCTCCCGGACGAGATGGCAAAGGCTGGGCAGTAGACGTGGATGGGGCTTCAAATCAGTGGCTTGTCCTTGGTATGTAGTCAAAGAGTAGACCGAGAAGCGATTTTTTGGGGGGGCGCAAAAGTTTGGACATTTCTTTATGCAATATTTCTTTGACTTTCTGAGGGGCAAGGCTAAATGTGGGGGCTTTGTTCCCACTTACGGATGGTAAGAAAATGATATGGTTCCAAATAACACCTTTCTTGAATTATATTTGTTTAATCATTCCTTTGGGGGAGGCATGGCCTCTGTTCCCCTCGCCATTGGCCAACAATGTAGTCAAGTCCCCAAATTGTATACTGAAATATCTGCTCTTTGTAGAATCAGAGTACCCCCCATGGGCTAAGAAGATATAGAGGCAGGTGGTACTGCTGTGTCTGGTGCACACATTCCTAATTCTTAATGGAAATTTGAAGAAGCTTTCCTACATGGAGAAAACTGGTTGTCTTATTTCTCTGACTATGGAAACAAGCATATTTCAATATACTTATCAGACTTTGAAAAAGAATCACTATAATATTTATAGAAATTTGAAACAATTATGTTCTTCTCCTGATTATGTCGCATTTCCATTTTAACAACTTGTTTTACCTACACTTCCAGCACAAGGAGGAAACTTTATTTACAAGTGCTGCATAGAAAGTATAGCATTTTGCCCAAGTTCAAGACTTATGGAAAAGAAAATTATGATCTCACAAACAAGAGAACTATATTGAGAGTGCAACAAGAGCTATAATTAAATACCTGAATACATTCCTGTCATCTGATTGTCGGGTTGTGTGTCAATGAATTTTTTGTCACAACGCATGACACAGCAACATTATAAAGAATAGGTGCACAGTAAACAAAACATTCGCTTCCAGGTTACAAGTTACATGTTCTGAACCCACAGGTGATGCAGGGATTTCTTTCTTATTCAGCTCTTGGAAAAAGCATAAGGAATGTTTCAAATTTGTGTGATGATGAAAATAATTTCATTTTTTTGGGTAAAGTGGTCTTTTCCAGAGGGCAAATCCAAGTTGAATGGAACATTCCATCTGTCCCTCATTAATACTTAACTCTGCACTCATGAAGATTTTATTTGCATATTCAGAGCTTAGAGAGCAAGAGAGAGCAAGTGTGACAGGCCCTGCATAGGCTGCAATAAAAAACCAGCCATGAACAGTATGGCTTGTGTGTCATTAGAGCCAGCTAAATCAATTCAAAGAATTGACATTTCATCGGTTGCATCACAAACTGACGTATTGTATGTACACAGCATATGGATGGTATGTCACTACGTGGTGCACCAAAACTATCCTATATGTCGCTTCATGGTGAAACCAACCCTTTGATTTTCAAACTTCCATTTGATTGAATATTTGAATATACAGTTTTAACAAATTGCCATTAAACCAGAAAGCAAATATACATAGCTTTGAAAAGAAAAATGGCAAAATTCTTTTTGCATTATGTTTAGGCTTAAAGCTGCCTTCACGTTTACATTGGAACACCTTGAAATTCAGAATGTAATGCTGTAACCAAAGAATTGCAGTGTTCTCTTGTTTGTTTCATTGAGTTTTACTGTTAAGTATTCAGTTTAAAAAATACATATTCAAATATTTGATAATTGATCAAATACCAAATATTGAAATAATCATCATGGTCCGATAGTAAATAACTTCTTGCCTGGTAGAACTTTGAATTGCTGAGAGAAATTAAATGCTGAGGCATCTCTCGGAGCCCAAAAAATTTATTAAACTTCAGCTGACCTTTTTTAACGATCATTTTCTGCATGTTTTTACAAAATGCACAAACCATTCTTCCAGGCGACGATTTTGCCGGTACTTGTGTCAGTGACCCCTCGCTCTGTCCTGAAGGAATCACAGTTGCATTGTGGGTAAAATTACGGAATTCAGCCGGTGCAGACAACACGTCGTTTGCATTTATCTTCAGCACTGGCGGGCAGTCGTCACGGGGATGTGCTCTCTACCAGCAAGGGGGAGATCGACTGAGAGCAACGGTTGCAGATGGAAGACGGCAGTGGATTGTAGAGATCATTTTTGTCCCTGATGAAGGTTAGAAACTTAGCTTTTGTTGGAGGGCCATTGTTTCACACAACGAGTCAGTATTAGACACATTCAGATGAGTTAATTCACCTTCAGTTATTCAGCTAGATTTTCAAAAGTCTTCAATAAAGACTTTTGACAGAAATTAGTTGACACTCGCATTTAATCTTAAGACTTGACACAAGGCATATTTCAGATGTGATTAAAGACATGGCTCAAAGATGAGGCTTAACTAAAGCTGAAACTAAGGAATCCGAGTGATTCAGGACTTACATCTCAAAGGGATATAATGCACTCTCACAGCTTGATTCACTGAACTTGAGACTTGAGTTAAAGGAATTTGATACTTGGCTTCATCAAGGACTCAGACTTGAATCAGGGGAATTTATTTATGTATTTAGTGTACGTACATGTATATCACATATCTACTGTGCATTCATAACCTTAATAATGAAGCAGTCATGTCTAGCATTGTATCATTCCTAAGATGTTAAGACAAAGAAAATCTTTGCTTAATTCCAGCGTTCAGCTGTACCTTCAGTTATCTTACTCTCTTTACTCTCTCTTCTCTTCTATTATTATAACAAATAAGGACCCGGGCCATGAACAAGCATTTGCTTTATGTCTGGTATCCGCCATTCATCATCTTTTATTTCATTCTGTAATAACATTGTTTCTATTATGTTCTAATTGTGATGTCTGGAAATAAACCAAACCAAACCAAGTTGGAGTTCAGACATAACCCAATGTCTAATCCCTTTGGTCGAGTCTCAGCCTGACTCAAAGGATTTGAATTGATTTCAGACGTGACTTGAGATGTGGTTTTAAAAGCACCTAGAGTGAGACTTGACTCAAGGATTAACTCAAGGGACAGTGATTTGACTGTGAGAACTATTTTAGATTTGCGTGATAAGTCTATCTGGACCTTGTGCCAATTAGGGACTTCAGACCTGACTCAAGAACTTGAAGCAAGATGCTTCAAAGTTAATTTTATATGTGGACTGGGTTTCATTGACTTACTGGCCTTCCTTTGTAGTACCATACTACCTACCATGCATTGTAAAATCTTACTCAATAAATCTACCTCGTAATGTCATGGAGTTTTTCCTCAGAATTTTCTGTCTAACTTGTAGATAAAACATCTTTACTGACCGCATGTTTTCTCTTCAGGGTTGTACTTAGTTTCACGTTTGGAAAGGCAGAATGTAAAGGACACAACCTTATTTTTTTCACTGCCTTTAGAGAACTGGGTTCACCTTGCCATCTCCTGGAGACAGTCATCAGGCTTGGTTCTCTACATTGACGGTGAGAGCCATGGAAGGGACCACGTAGGGCGCATCCGCATCAGACACAACGACCTAGACAGTCTGCTGTTGGTAGGCCGAAGGAATGACTATCTGGCCGGCTATGCCAACCTGACTCTAGAGCAGCTTGCAATCTGGGAGCATTACACAGAGCCATGGCAGGCAAGACGGAAGATGGGACTCATAGGTATGTCACCAAGGCAGCCAATTCAAGGTGCAACCTCACCGTTACCGTGGCTGTTCAGTCCTATAAAGGAAGGGACTTTTTTTGTCCGAGTTTAAGTATTGACTCCACACAGGAAACTTACGTGACACTGCATGACAATTCAGAAAAACTCTTTCGTCTTGAAACAGATCATAGTCGCCAATGGTTTACACACATGCATGGCTCAAAGTAGGTTACACAAAATCAATTGTCATATGAGTGCACACATATGCGACCAAGTATTGATGTCATTATCTACAGTTTCGTGACATTGCAAGAAATTTAAGACATCTTCCTGCTCCTTGGCTTTGCATCAAACTTTACAAAGGTAAAACACCGGAAATGAGTTGTGTATGGTACAACATTGCAACAAGGAAATTGTGTGGTGATGTTTTGTATTTTCTTTCTAATTTAACATAGTTATAAAGTGGTATTAAAAATGAGAGAATCTAGTGCCATTTGCTACCTGTGTTCATTTATGTTCTCAAAACATTGCTTCCAAACTTCCAAGTGACATAACCAAACGCTGGTATGTTGACACATTGTCCTAAGACTCTTATTGTCTAACATCCAAACCACAGCTTTCTGGTAATGTCATGATCACATCATATTGCCACCATTTTCACGAAAGGACAAAGTGGCCCAAAATCAAGATCTTTTCAAATTTCTGGGTTTTGTTTTGCAAAATCAACTAGGCTATGTGATGTCTACAACCTGGTGTAATCACTTTTTACCAAATCTACTGAAATCAGCCAAATCACGATGATCACTGTGGGGCAAAGTTCAACTTAAACACATTTGTCCATTTTCATAAAGGTCTTCGGTAGTTAAAGCGTTAACAATAAAGGGCAAAACCTGTTTTAGCATTTCACAAGGAGCCAAAGTTGATTCTGGAAATGTAGCAATTTTGCACCTGGCATGTGCTACAGCAAAAACGTGTGTTGTGTGCCGTTGTCACGAAGAGACACAAGTCACATGAATTTTTGCACAAAAGTGTTTGTTTACAAAATAAACAAATTGACTTCTTTAAATATTAAGTTGTAGGTTTGTGTCATTTTAGATCCTTCTCTCAGGAAGTAACATTGGTTAAGTCAAAGGAATACTGGGGGAAATAAGCATTTGAAAAAGAGACCAACTTCAAATGTGATTTTCTGGAAAACTAGTTCACCCTCTGGTGAGTTTTTTGTCAGTGACAATAGTTTGCTAGCAATCTAACAATGCATTGATGAAGAAAACAGCTTATTTTTAAATAAATCTGTATTTTTCATTCAACAGAAAACAGCTACTATGCCAGGGCCACGTACTATTGGAATCAAAGGCGATTTATCAGCAGTACATTTGATATTCTATCAAATTCTGCAGGCATTGTGGGGCCAAGCAGTAATGTAGCAGTGCCATACTCTGACATGGTAGACTTGTCCAGTCCCGGTTCTTACATTGACCTAGGTAAGTAACATAGTCCGAGTTCTTCACCTGATACTGCCAGATGTTCTCTTCAAAATTTTATATCCCCTTGGCCTTTTGTTGCTGAAATAAAATGACTTGATATATTCTGATGTCTTGTTCTTTCTCAGGTGATTTTCATGGAAGGTGTGTCTCTGACCCAACCAAGTGCAGTGCTGGTTTGAGTGTGTCTCTCTGGTTAAAATACCAGCAGGGAGTAACGTCTGCAACACCATCATTCATAATCAGGTAATCCTGTAGCAAGTGCATCTCTTGGGTGCGATTAGTGAGTCTGTATTATTGGTTGATTGCTGCATCGTCATCTGTCAGACCTGCTGCCATCGATTGATTGCTATTTCTGTCTAATGCAGAGCTCCGGAAAATGGCAGCAGAACGATTTTCCAAGTGAGGGAGGGGGACCAAATGTGAGACCATCAGGCATCAGCCATTAATAGGCCGATCCATTAAGCCCCATCCCGTTGTAGGACCTGCAAAACGTGGGAGGGGCCACGCCCCCATCAAGAAAAGGGGCAACCCCCCCGGCAGTGCCAGTGGCTCTGATTGATTGTTTTGAAAAGATGGTTGGGTAACATTTGCAGGTTCCCACAGCATCAACTGACAGTGCAGAACAGCCAAGCAATGGTGCAGATCCACCAATCAGTCTTGAAATTGATCATGGGGGCACCAGGGGGTGTACAGATTTTTTTAAGGGGCACTAAAAAAAAATTAACGGTGGCTAGTATATGGGCTTTGTACATTTCAAAATTTCAAATGGTGGGGGGTGGGGCACAGGTTTCCACCTGAAAGAATTATTGTAAGACTCTGCTACCGAAAGAAAATTTATTTTACAGATTGGATGTTCATAACCGCGGCCCTTTAAAATGCTGAATTTGCTGCAGCTATGTTGGCTGGCTTCTAGATAAGAGAGTGTTTTTGATCAGGTTTATAAATTTGCTTCACCAAATGGGGGGCCTGAGAGATAATGATGGAATCATGTAACATGGTCTAACCAAGTCATAGGCCAAAAGTTACAAGCTGTAGTGAATTATAAAAGATTAAAAAGAAAGATAACATTTTTTAGGAGGGGCAGTTGAATCTGTACCTAAAACTGGGGCTGGGGTGCCAAGGGATTGATAATCTTATGGCCCTTGCTGGTCTAGAACTGGGAGCTAGGGGGATGTATCCTCGCACCCTTTGCTATAGGATGGGTGAAAACTCAGAACTCACAATCAACATTTTTATCTTTTGACAGAACAAGGGAATATGGTTTACAACATCCAGGTTTTGTCATGTACATAAATGATGCTAGACTTTATGCTGTGGTGCAAAATTCAGTTGGCCGTTGGTTTGCTGCATTAAAGATGGAGGTAGGGTAATTATGTACATTTTCATAAACAGTGATTTTTGGAGCCAATCATATTGAGCCAACAGAGTTTTGGTTCCAGACAGGTGCACTTAGTCCAATCCACACACGGCATTAGAGAGAAGAATATGTATAACACAAATCGCTTCTGTAATTTCTTGCTACATTGTTTGTATTAAAGCAAATGAATGTGACACATCCTCAGTTTTTAAAGCTAATGCAGTCTCCAAATTGTCTAATTAAAACAAGAAGGCAACAGGCAAACTTGGCCGTACTGATGACATTCATTATGAATGAAAGGATTCAAGGGAAAGACAGAAAAAAATGGTTCAACTCTTATTTAATCTACTTGCAGCAGATATTAGCCCCCCAGCCAGTTATGTTCCACAATTTCTGTCTATAAATTTTCAGCAAACTTCAATGACATTTATTAATTTATTGTTGCATTCATCACCATCTATGATCATCAACATTCATCAAGGCACCCATTTCTTGTAAGAAGGATGCCAGTGGATTTGTGGCACACTCGGGGTCAATTCTCCTAGTAAAAAGTGATTGCGGGGGGTTGCTCGTCACCATTTAACAGGCTTTACAACAAGCTTGGTATTTATTTTATTCAAATCTGTGAAATCATTTGGTTTGACATGACTCTGACATGCCAGTTACAATCAGACATTGGAACTGCACACTTGGAGTTGGCTTGACATCAAGAAGTTTGAAAGTGATTTTTCATTTTGCCAAATTGCAGTTAATTCAATCCTTTGTTTTCAGAACTTCCCCAGTGACGAGTGGGTGAATCTGGCTTTTACATGGAGTGAAACACAGAGCCTCACTCTGTACATAAATGGAATTGAGCCCCCAAAAGTACAGTATCATTTTGAACCGAAGCCTTACACCCCTAATCCTATGTCCCGATTGGTCTTGGGGGCAACCAGTACCCCTACACCATCGCATCCAGTGACATTTCAAGTCCACAGCTTAGCTGTCTGGGAGACTCATATCTCCCAAGGAAAGATCCACCAACTTCTTGGCATGTCAAGTGAGTATATATTTAGTGCTCATCACTCCAATAAAATATGCTTCATTTGTCAGATCTTTATCATTAACTTCCTTCATTGAGTTGATCTCAGTGGTATAAATCTGCGCTGGTGAATGGGGCATTCTTATGTCAAAATGGTGCATCTAAAGTTCTTATGTGATGTTTGTTTTCTGTTTTTATTGCTGTTTTATACATTTTGGCTGTTTGGAAGTTCAAGAAAAACACAAAAGCCACACAATACTGCAATGGATCATTCCCTGGTCCAAATGTGAGAGAATATACAGGCCCATAGGCTGGGGGGGTTAGGGTTCGAACAAACACCCCTCCTCCTCCACGCTCGCTTCTGAGTTCCGCTTGTTGATGGTCTTTTTTTGTTTGTACTGAATATTTTAGTTAATATTCGGCATACAAGCCACGGCTTATATGTTGATTGTCAAGCTCAAGGTGACCACGATTCTGCATATTAATGAGTCAGTCTCCAGTCATATGTACCCTCAGGAAGTTCCGGCAAATATGCACATTTCAGGTGTTTCACAGGGTTTGAAATCAATGTATTTTTGTTAAGTTTATTCAATATTGAAAACTACAGAGTACAAGTCTTACATGCAACCTTTGGTTTTGACAGATATGCAACTTTTCAATTTTGTTTTCCAAAGCACACTGTGATAGGCCTTTGTATAAAAAAAATATGTGTTCAAAGTGTCAAAAGTTCCACTTTTGGTTTGACGATCCCCCCACTCTCTGGTCAGGCAACGGGCCTGATATATACCCCTATCCACCTCCCAGATTCATACCCCTGGTGGAGTTACTTGAAGGCTTGGAGTTCACAACCTCAGAAGATGGATAACTTTCTATATTTTGAATACACACCACGTGTCACTCCGAACTTGCCAAAAAGAAAAGCAGAGAAGGGGCTTCCAAAATTAATAAGTTCATTAAGTGAGAAATAAATTGGTTTCAGATTAAGCACTGTGTTAATTTTTTCAAGATGTATTTTTGCATTGGGGAGATGTTAATTATATATAACGGGTTTGCCCTTACCCAACGTATATTAATAAGCACTGTAAGCTCTCGGACAAGCACTGAGCATACAGTGCTTATTAATATATGTTGGGTAAGGGCAAACCCGTTATATATAATTAACATCTCCCCAACGCAAAGATACATTTTGAAAATAGTTCGCGGTACCTGCTGCTTCAT